AACAAAGACCTACCCAATCAAGAGATATCTTATGGGTGAAAGCTGGCGACCTCACTATTATGAATATATATAGGCCGCCAGATAAGCCTATAAACCAAGCAACCAGCCTCCTTTTAGATTATCAACCGCCAGAGAGAGCCCTTATCGCTAGGGACCTTAATGCCCGCCACTCCTCTTGGGAACCTAGGACCCCTAGCCGGAACCAGGGCGACGATATTGCAGAGTGGGCTGAAGTCTATGATCTGTCGTTTATTGGAGAAGTTGGGGCCCCTACCCATACTCATGGGCATACCCTCGACCTGACCTTCTCAAATATCCCCTTTGCTGAAGCTTATATTAGCCCACACCTACACCCAGGGGCTGACCACCAAGCTATTACAACAATTATCCCTATAGGCAAGGCCCAGGAACAGGGACGCCAGACTAGCCACCTCTCAGTCCCAGAGTCAGCCCTACCCCGATTTATCGACCTAGTAAAGGCTGGGGCTGCAGCCCTGCCTACCCCAGGGGAACACCCAAGCCCAGCGGAGCTGGACACTCTAGCTGCCCAACTGGTTAGTCTCTTCCACACAGCCGTTCAAGCTGTAGGTAAGAGACGGACTAACCAGGGCAGGGGAGCCCCCTGGTGGACAGAAGACTGCTCAGAAGCCCACCGAGCTGCTATTAAGGCTAGGCGCCAACAGGCCCAAGAACCAGGGCTAGTTATACCTCCCCCTGTCCTAGAGGAGCAGAAAGTCTTCCTGACAACCGTCAGAAGGGCAAAACGCGCCTACTGGATAGCTAAGATTGAAGAGGTTAAGACAGACCAAGACCTGTATAAAATCTTAGGCTGGCGGAAGTCTAGCTTAGCAGTTAAAGCCCCACCTCTCATAGTAGAAGGACGGACGATCAGCAATAGCCTCGATAAGGCTCAGGCCCTTCGAAAGGCCTTATTAGAGCGATTTAGTGCTGCAGACGACTTACCTGGGAACCCCTTTGCTATTCCAGTAGTCGCAAGGCGTCTTATACCCTGGCAGGATACAGTTAGTATGGAGGAAGTACGCCAGGCTACTCTAACAGAGACTACAACCCCTGGGACTGATAGGATTACTACAAAGTTACTACAATGCACCTGGGGTTTAGTAGCTAGGCCTATACAGCAGCTCTTCCAGGCCTGCGTACAGGTAGGCTACTTCCCTAGACCCTTCCGCAAAGCAGAGGTTGTTATGATCCAGAAGCCGGGGAAAACAGACTTCTCTAAGACTGGGTCTTGGCGCCCGATATCCCTGTTATCCTGCTTAGGCAAAGGCTTAGAGCGGCTGATAGCAAAAAGGATGGCCTACCTTACTATCCTAGAAGGGGCTGCCAGCCCACAGCAGGTTGGAGCCCTACCAGGGAGGGCTGCAGTTGACCTCACAACCTGTCTAACCCATGAGATTGAGAGGGCTCTAGATACAGGGCTTACTGCGACGCTAGCAACAATGGACGTCAAGGGGGCGTTTGATTCCGTCTTACGAAACCGACTTATTGTCAGGCTACGACAGCAGGGCTGGCCTAGCAGCCTGATCAGACTGGTCTACACCTTCACCTCCAGCCGAACAGCCTGCGTCAGGCTAGAGGATACTACTACTGAGGACTTCCCTCTTTCCTGTGGACTACCGCAAGGCTCTCCGCTGTCACCTATCCTCTTCCTGCTCTATATAGCTGATATCCTAGCTGACGATCAGAAGCTACGGTTTGGCTATGCAGACGATATAGGCTTAGTAGCTACTAGCCCCTCGCTAGAAGAGAATGCTACAGCCCTAGGCCAGGAGATCACTAGTATCCTCAGCTGGGGAACGGAAAATAAAGTCGCCTTTGACCCAGCTAAGTGTGAGGCAATCCACTTCAGCAGAAAACATAAACAGACAACAGACCTACCAGATATCCAAGCGAGAGGCCTAACTATTAAGGCCTCAACTAAGCCTATAAGATGGCTAGGGGTCTGGTTTGATAGGAGACTCACCTTCCAACACCATGTAGCAATAAAGGTAGCAGCAGCAAAGAAGGTAGCCTATTTCCTACGGCACCTAACAAACACTAAAGGGGGGCTCCCAGCAGTTGCAGTTCGAAAAGCAGTTCTTGCTTGCGCCCTCCCAATAGCCCTATATGGAGCGGAGACCTGGTATGCAGGCCTAACCAGACCAGCCCTGAACAGCAGCACTAATACTAGCAGTAGCACTACTCTACAGATAGCTACAGTTGGCACAGGACAGAAGGGCCTAGCCTGTAGAGTTGGAAAAGTTATCACAGCAGCAGCAAGGGCTATCCTACCTGTCTGGAGGACCACACCAACCAGTGCCCTCATCTGAGATGCTGGCCTACCTACAGCAGAGGTAGCCCTTGAGGCAGCGCGACTACGCTTTGCTACACGCCTACAGAAGGTTGACCAACAACATCCCTTAGTCCCAAGGCTTCTGCAGCCAGGGCGGCAGCAGACCAGGCTCCAAAGAACAGCTGGCCTCTTACCCAAGTGTCCAAGGCCAGCACTCCTACAGCCGCAATACCTCCCAGGGTCCTATAACCCTATAGCCACAAAGACGAAGGAAATAGCAGCGAGGATCTTCCAGGCCTGGCTTAAGACTGTACCAGAGAAGCATACTATTATCTACTCAGACGGCTCTAAAGCCCCTAATGGCGCCACAGGGTTTGGCTTTGTTATATACCGTAAGAACAAGCGTATAGCCCAGGGCTGCGGCCGCCTCGGCTTAGCAGAAGTGTTTGATGGGGAGGCTGAGGGGGCGAGGGCAGGGCTCCGACGAGCCCTCCTTACCTCCCAGGGCCAGCCTATACACATCTGTATCGATAATACCAGCGTTATCCAGGGGATCCGAGGCAGGGTCCCAGACTCCTCACAAGCTGCCTTCCTTGAGATCCAAGAGGCAGCTAGGATGTATGACATACGAACCCATTGGTCACCAGGGCACCAAGGCATCAAAGGGAACGAGGAAGCAGACAGCCTAGCCAAGGAGGGCACAACCCTGCCAGCCCCTAGGGGCCAACTAGCCACCCTGTCAGGGATCAAACGGCTAGCTAGAGAACGCATATGCCGCCAGTATAGAAAATGGTGGAAGCAAGAGGCAACACCCCGCTACACCCAACTAGGGCTTAAGGCTTCCCTCGCCTGCCCTCCTGAACTAGCCCTACCACGGGCTATACTCCATCATCTCCTAGCAGCCCGGTCAGGCCATGGAGACTTCGAACAATACCATCAACGCTTTAACTATACAGAAGCACTGCTTACCTGCTCCTGTGGGGAGGCAAAGGAGGTAGACCACCTAGTCTACTGCCGAAAGACCTTAGTGAGGAGGTTTCAGTGGCCCACCCTCCACCCTTCTAGTCCACAGGAGCCTATAGGACCAATAGGATCTCTTGATCGGTACTACAAGGGGCTAACCACTGATCATGAAGGCTTCTGGGCCTTTCTCTGCGTGACAGACTTCTTCCAGAAGATCTGCCCGCGGTACTAGGGCCTAGGCCTGAACCTGGGCCTTAGTAACGAACCCCCTCCTCGTAGAGGAACTGACGAGTATAATGGAACTAGGGAACCAGCGGGAACTAGGGACGGATAGAACACGTAGCAGCCTATAGGCAAGATTTGGAGGACGTTTGGAAGAGGCGTGTACTGTAGAGTATATAGCTTGAGCCTGCGGCCCTCCACGCCATATACCCCTCGGGAGGTCGGCCGCAAGGGCGGCTGCGCCTTTGCCGCCACGGCGTTAAATAGAACAACAACAACAACAACAACAATGCATCGCAACCCGCGCCTGTGGCGCATAGAAGCCGCCTGAGACCTGCTGGCGCCGCCCTCACGTTCGTCCTATATGCTGATTGGGAGCCAGAGCAGTCGTATGAGAACGAGCCCATCATACGCTATAATATTGAGTGGAAGCTCTTCGCGAAGAATTGGGGGCAGGCTGGCGAATCAGAGCTCGACGTGGTGATATCGCCACGCAAGTTCTGGAAGCACGTCCTGCAGCCCAAGGTGGCTGCCGTAAGTGCGGGTAAACCGTGGAAGGAGGAAGCCACGAAGCTTGTAATATCTGTGACCGACCGTAAAACCGGCAACATCACGAAGCGTTTTCCGAAACTCGATATTGACTGGCCCCTTGTCACCCGGCAGCTTTGTAAATGGAGCAAGTTCCTGGACGAGGGAAAGAAGATCACTATTACTGATATATTTTACTACATAAGCGTAGACGCAGGTAAGTCTGGCCGGGCAGGAGCAACAGCCACTCAGGAGGCAGACTTAGAAGCCAGAACCATCAGCTTAGGTTGAGGTGCCTATATCAGACAAGCATATGCGCTGATGCGCTGCCCCAGCTGGCTGTGTACAAAAGGAGACCACTGCTGGCAACATGAGGGGACACACTATCGTCTGTTACTACACCATGATGCTGGCCGATTATCTGCAAGCAGAGAGGCCCATGAATGGACACGACGATTTTCCGGGTGAGTTTCGTCGATTGGTTTTAGAAGATGAACGTGAGCCGGAAGAAAGGGGAGCTACGAGAAGAGGAAAGGTCAAGTCATCGAAAGCAGACAAGACGTAACTAGGACCTGTCGTCGTCTGATGCGAGGTTCGTCCAATGCCATCCGTATGTTGTTGGTGGAAGCAAAATTCCTGCCTGTCCCAGACTGGTGTTCCAGTCGACACCTTGCAAAGGATAGGTTTGGCTTCGCAGTAGAGAGGATGCAGTCAGGGCATATAGCATGTGGCAGCAATCCCAGGTCAGCACAGACGAGCAGAAGAGACACTACAGCATGGCGGAGGGGCTGACGTTGGCATATGGCTACGACCTAGACATGCTCGCAGCTAGTCAGGAACAGATGTAATGGTTCTACGTCAAGCACGGAGTTCAGGCTGGTGTTTCATGGTGCTACGGTTCTCACGTTCCGTCATTTTTGGCAGAGCATGGCGGTTGGGATGCTATGTCACCTAACGTCAAGGATATTTTGTAGAGCAATATCTTCATTCGTCTTTAGGCCCCGTCAACATCGATCTGGGCCTTCTTGAAGTGTCCTCTGGCTATCCTCCTGTCCCCTCCAACGACTCTAATCTGCATCAGGAGGTATGATTTGAAGTCGCCCTGAATGAGATCCTCGTCTTCTAGAGACATCTTCCTGATGCGGTTCTTGACTGACCCAAACAGAAACTCGATCGGGTTTAGATCTGGTGAGTATGGCGCTTGGAACTCGACTAGCACGCCTCCCCGGGCGATGAGATCCTTAAGCCTTTAGGAAATAAAATGGAACGAAGCATTATCCATGAAAATAACAGATCTCGGCGCGGGGTACCTGCCGCAGAAAGGCAGCAGCCTCTCAAGGAAGCCCTCGAATACCTCGGTGTCTATATTTTCTTCATAGACCTCGCAATAAATGACACCATCGATAGTGTATGCTGGCAAAATCTGGGCTCTTTTCCCGCGATGAAACCTCTTGGTTTGTTTCAGCGTCACACCCTTCGGAGCATACCCACAGCCTAGTATCGCCAGACCACGATCGCTTCCGCTTTCATCTACGAATATCATTTGGTCGAGCTTGTAGTGCGATCGCCGGTCGATGTAGTCGTCACGGAGATCCTGGCTTTGTTCTTTTGCGACATTCTGTGTAACTTTCTTCTTCCAGCCGGCTCGTTTCAGTGCCCTTCCAATGGTACATCGCGATAGCTTTACTTGGTATTGTCGAAAGAGAAAATTAGCCGTGTCTTGTTGACTCATACAAGGACTGCATTCCAGCTGGTTCTTCAAAGCTAGCCACATATTTTCCGTCATCTCTTTCGGTCGGCCCATAGCCTTACGAGGAGGGTCAATCGTGCCATGTCTGAGGATGTTCGATCGAGCGGTGCGGATCGTTCGTGTTGTGCAAGGGACTATTGCCCGAGAAATTTCGGTATCCGTTATGACCTCGTTGCCCTGTAACTTATTAATAATGACGCTTTGGAGCTCTGACCGCTGTATCTTCGATAACGTGGGCGCCATCTTCTAAGGCTGTGTGGATGCCAGTCTTGGAATTGACTCGATTGATCCTGCTCGCTAGCCTTGGATGTGGCAAGGAGCGGTGGAACGTTACTCCGAAACTTCCGTGGGCATCCGTCCTTATCCCGCCCCGCTCTTCTCAAGATGGCTGCGTCTCTGAGAACTCGAGCTACAAAGACTATTATCACGACGTCTTGCGTTACCTCTGAGAGCTGTTTCCTAGCTTCCCTTCGAAGCCAGGCCTTCGCATTAGTAAAAGGGGTCAAATTCGGCAGAAAGCGAAGGCGTTTAGTCGCAGCCATGCGTTGTTACGCATCCACGTTAGCCTATGGGCTGTGCGATTGGACCAACAGGCGCCCAGCCTGCATGGCCACAGCCTCATCACCCCCTCATCTTGAAGAAGCACTCCTGATCTTACTGGGAACAAATTCAATACTCCCCTGATCAAGTTCTGTTGTTATCGATCTCAATCAGCCTATGGTCCGTCATGAGCCCTTCAAAACCCCTGCAGCGTTTGAAGGGCTTCTTCCGCCTTGGGAGCAGCAAAACGGGTGAGCCTACCGTCCGTGACGACCAATCTCCCTCGACGCCAGCATCGTTCGCAGAAGCCAGAGCCTCGGTAGCTGCCGTCTCCCAAAGCTCGTCTTCCAGGCCCCTTCAAGCTACAGAAACACTAGCTTTCGTGACGCCTGATCGAGTCCCAAGTCCAACAGCGCGTCCCATCACATCGCTCCCTCAAACAATACCCCCGCCATCAGAAGACGTGTCTTCGCTATGGAGTCGTGCTTACGAGGCTCTGCGGGAAGAAGATGCACAGTTGGTGGAGCAATACCAGATACTTCTGTCTCAAGAGTTAGGGGAGCAAGGTAAGCCTGCCTGATATTCTGTAACACCATACGCATGTATAGACTAGTTCCTTGCCAGAGCCTAGCGCACCCGGGATACAAGGACTGCTTCAACAGCATGATGCTAAGCGCCGACATAATAACCGAATCGAAACTGATCCCGACAGGCGTTGTGCTCAACTTAAGACTATCACCGACCGTGGCCTACGACGCGCCGACGACAAGCGAACGAAGTATACCATATTCGGGAACCAGTTTATTCTGAGGGATCAGGTTCAGCAGACTGCTCAATTCGTGCTGACTATGAAGAGTCTTGTTGATGAGGCTGTCAAGGCGTCTCCTGAGGCATCCCTTGTCTGGGCTGGGATGTGTGTCTTATTACCAGTCTTCACCAATCCGAGTGCGGCAGAGGAGGCTAACCGTGGTGGCTTATCGTATGTCGCCTCTCGTCTTCCATACTACGTCCAAATTGAACGTCTCCTGTGGCCAGAAAACCTGCTCGAAACCGGACTGAAGGCGGAATTACACGGCCATGTCGTTGACCTCTACCGACACATCCTTGAGTTTCAGATCAAGACCGTTCGCCGATTCTACCGAAAGTGGCTTGCTAACATCAGTCGCGATGTTATCCAATACGACAACTTGAAAGGAATGATCTCTAATATACAAGAGCGAGAGCGAATTATACGAGAAGAGTCAAATATTCTGAATAGCATTGCTTCGCGGAACACCCTAGAAGCCATCGGAAAAGCAGCACAGCAAAACTATGACCACATGCAGTCGCTTCTGTCGATTGCGAAGGATCATCTCGATGTTTCGAGGGACCACCGTGACATTTCGGCAGAACAACTTCAGCTCCAGATGTTCGTTCTTTCATGCTTAAATGCAGACTTTTGCTGATGCATCGTAGGGAAACAAGTAATAGTCTACCTCTCGACCTTCCCGTCGTCAATGAAGCGCGCTGCGACAGTGGGGACTTCCAAGACGGCCCGAGATGTGAGACCGGGACTCGAGTACGCATTCAGGAGACGATTCACAATTGGGCGGACGATGACTCTGGCGAACCATTATTCTGGCTTATGGGTCCAGCGGGAACCGGGAAGTCCACTATTGCGCGGACAATCACAGACTCTTGGGCCAAGCAGAAACGACTTGTTGCTGGTTACTTCTTCAAAAGGGGAGAAAAGGGCCGCAATGACACCACCCGGCTATTTCCCACCCTTGCTGCGCAGCTGTCCGAGGAAAGCCCTGCCTTTAGAGGCTGTCTTCGGAAATCTCTCAGCGGTCTCAACAGAGAAGCGGTGGAAAGCAAAGGCCTTGAAAACCAGTTCAACCAACTGCTGTGGCGCCCCTTGGCAGATCTATCCCTCGACACCCGCCGACTGACTACGGTTATCATCGTTGACGCCTTGGACGAGTGCGAGCGCCCTGGTCACCTAGGGCAGGTTTTAAAACTTCTTGCGAAACTAAGTACCGTCAGCACGGTGCGCCTGCGGGTATTGGTGACAAGCAGGCCTACTATAGCGGATGCCTTTCGTGGCATTTGCTCTCGAAGTCTTGATCTAGAGACGGAGCATCAGGTCGCCACACGGACTGATATTGCTACTTTTCTCAAACAGAGATTTGCGAGTATCAAGGCTAGGTGGGAGATCCAGGAGACTTGGCCGGATGAAAGACAATTCGATCGTCTGATTCAGCTATCAACAACACCCTCACCCCTATTCATTTATGCAGCAACTCTGTGTCGCTTCATCGATGATCCAGATAAACGGGAAGATCCAGTCGACCAACTAGACCTCTGGTTTCATCAAAGCGACAGCAGCACTCCCCAGCTCGATCAAATTTACCGGCCAATTCTCCACTACGTCTTATTCGGCAGCTACAACACCGATGAAAAACCAAAGCCGCTGGCTGAAGATCGCCGAACGGAACTATGCCATCTGTTGGGAGCTCTTGTACTGGTTGCGTCTCCTCTGCCATCCAAGGCGATTGCGGCCTTGCTTGGCATCCCTATGCGTAGAGTTACTCTGTGGCTCTATCACCTACGTGCTGTCCTCAGCGTCCCTCGTGGCCACGATACTCCCGTAACGCTCCTGCATAAGTCTTTTAGTGACTTTCTGCTTAGCCCTGAGGGCTCAAGTCATCGTGACTACGGAATATGTCTTACACCAACACACGCTACGCTGGCAGCAAAATGCATTCAGCATATGAAAGAGGGACTCAGGCGAGATATCTGCAATACTCAAAAGCCAGACGTGCAAAGTGATGAGATCAAGAAGGAAGTGATGAATAAATATATCCCTGCTGATCTGCAGTACGCATGCCTCTATTGGGTTTACCACTTACAACAAAGCAAAGGGTATTTAGGAGATGACGTTTACAGTATGTGTTCCTCACCATGCACCTCCTTCATTGGTTGGAAGTTTTAGCACTTCTAGGTAAGGTTTCGGACGGTGCCGCCGCGATTAAGCAACTTCTAAAGATGTGCCAGGTAAGTAGTGGTGTTGTCGCGCCATACTTAGGCTAACACTTCTCATAGCAGGATCCTAATGCACCTGCAGAACTAAGGGAGTTCATCACAGATGCAAGCAATGTTGTGGCTAGTTTTGGATCTATGATTGAGCAGACACCGCTTCAAATCTATGCGGCGTTGATACTGTTCTGTCCGGTTGCAAGCAAAGTCCGGGAAAGATGTTGCAACCAACACCTACCGAATCTGCCTCATGTTCACGGCGTAAAATTTGATTGGGATGCGCTGCGGCAGACGCTCGAGGGCCATACAGACTCAGTCAGCGCAGTAGCCTTCTCGCCGGACGGCCAGGTGTTGGCGTCAGCTTCGGGCGACAACACGGTCCGGCTCTGGGACGCTGCCACAGGCGCGCCCTGGCAGACGCTCGAGGGCTTCACCCGCAATCTAGCATTCGACCCATGTTCTAGAAATCGACTCCTCACTGATTTTGGCGCCGTAGACGTAGTTACAGGGTCTTTAACGGCCGGACCCTACAGCTAAGTGCGAAAAAGATGTCCTGTTGAAATACACACTCTTGTTTCTTTGGGCGCACGGACGCAAAATTGACAGTGTGTATTTCATCAGTGCCATACATGGTACTGACAGGGAACCGAGTTGATTACTCCAGAAATGGCTTACGCCAGGAACGGATGAACACCGTGGCCTCTCAGTTAAGTCGTGACCACAATGTCCAAAAAGGATCTCCCAAACCCTCTATCAGCAACTCCAGCGAAGGTCAGCAGAGTCAGCAACAGGCTTTGCGATTATAGGGCCTTTTCTTGCTCGTTCCACGCATGATCTTCTTCAAAATATAATTTACAGTAAGTTGCTGGGCGAAACGACTGCCACTAATGACAGCATAGCTAATCTGGTCGGATGTAATCTACAAATAGTACGCTGAATCCGCTTGAAACTACGCGTCTTTAGGGCTGCAGAGACTCCGATAAATACTCCCGGCCGCCTAAAGTCGATCACGCCTCCCATGCTAAGCGCTCTGCGCGGCCAACTTGCTGTTGACCTATGTCTGACCCTAGATAAGATGGCTGCGTTCCTCTGTAAACACTATAATGCTGACGTGTCCCGCTTCAGCATTAGTAGGACCTTAAGGCAGGACAAATAGTCCCAGAAAGCCATATAGAATATCGCTCAAGAGTGTAACCTAGACCTGCGAGATGAATTTATGCACTAAATCTCACAGTACCATTCTGAGCAGGTGTTTTTTATTAACAAATCCAGGGTGGATAAGAGCATCAGTATACAGCGTTAGGGCTAGGCTCCTCAAGGGAAGCAACCACGCTAAATCAAGCGATTTCACTGCAGTCGTAGGTACCAGATCCTGCCGGCCTATACTCAGGATAGGGTGATACACTTCAGGGTTTTCGAGGGATCGACAGACGCTAAGGTGTTTAAGAGTTTCATCAAGACACTCTTGCATTATTGCGGTCGTTAGCCCAAGCCACGGTCTGTTTTGATCATGGATAACGCATCCTTCTATCACTCAGATCGTATACGGGAGATATGCACGGCAGCAGGAGTAGTACTGCTTTACTCAGCCCCCTATTCACCTGACATCATTCCTATTAAGCATTTCTTTGGCGAGTTGAAGAACTTCATCCGGCAGGTGTGGAACGAACACTAAGGCTTTATTATCGCAGATTTCTAATTGTTTCTGGAGGAATATGTTATGGTTGTCAGCCAGCAAAAGAAGAGTGCTAGGGGTTACTTCTGCAATTATTCGATTTCGATTAACGAACTATTAGACTGAGGCAAAACAGACAAATTCGATTTTTATGCTACACAGACGACCTGTTCTTAGCCTATATACACCTAGATATCCCACACCTATCGGCAGGCCACGCCTTCCAGCACACCCTGCTTGATGTAAAACTGAGCATTATTATCTTTATGAACAAGCTTAAGATCCAGACCCCTCGCTATCGTCAGGCTGTACGCCAGCTCGAAATGTTGTTTTTAGGTTTCGCTTCTTACTTTAGAATAGTGCCACTCGCAGTACGCCTCAACAGCATCATCCCTCAGCCTGGGTACACAGAGAGGTGACAGACGCAGGGGTGGGGAGCTTCTATGATCTGGTGAGGCCCTGTTCGAAGATGTTGAGTAGTCTGAGTTATGGTTGTGGATGATCATAGGGATATAACTAGTTAGGTCCAACCCTGAAGCCTGTCGCTTACGCTTGCAACCCTGTTGTTCCTAGGCATACAACTGCGCCTAGATCTCCTTAGGAATATTATTATAGGTCTCTAGCTTATAGCCTTGCTGTACCTATCTCATAAGTTCCCTCATATAATAATCCAGGAGTTTGTAGTGCATTTTTTAGGCGCGATCCTGCCAGCACTATTGCCTATTATCGCATAGGCCTCCTGGATATCTTATGAGCTGGTAGACCGGCCTCTATAGATCAACCTCGCCAGTAGCATCCCGCTCAGCATCCAACCGTGCAGTTCGTTCCGCAAGCCTAATCGCTATGGCGCCCCGTCCAGCAGGCCGGCCTGTGGAGGCACTCTCCACATAGTCCAGCTGCACGTAGACCTTCAGTCTTTTGCTGGCGTAGAGAAGCTGGCTCCATCCTTGCAGCTGTCTCTCAGTGACAGTCTAATCAATCTGTTGCCCTAGAAAATGCTTTGTGATCTTGTCTTCAGACTGGTCGTTAGGAACCAACATGACTATTATCGTCGCACTAGTCTTATAGGATTTCTTTTTTGAGGCAATAATCTCAGCGATCTTAAATATAAGTACTTCTTTGCAAAAGTCGCTTAGGGCTACGACAAGGTTTTGTTCGGTTTGTTCCACAGCCTTTCTATTGTTTAGGGTTAATTTCCACTGCATCGTACAAAGCATCAACTGCGAAGGCTGTTTATCGTATGACTGGCCTGGAGCCTATCTGCAGTAGTCCAAGAACAGGAACGCTCTGGGGACAGGTGGAAGCTGACTGCGCTGAGAAGTGCCGTGGTTCAATTCACCGTCGGAGTCGGAGATGTCTAGGTCTTGATAATCACTTTCATTATCGCTGATTTCATACAGCTAATCATCTCCAGCCATAGTCGCAGTTATTAGCTAGGGCGGATAATGCAAAGAGGAGATAAAACATAGCAAGCATTTAATAACAGCAAATAGACACTTTAAGTAACAGATGATAGTGTTGCATAGGCTTCAGTCTAGCTTATTAGGTAGGTCTACAGCGGTGATAGAAAGTTCTAGATGGGTTCTTAAATCCCTGAGGAAAATCCACCTCCTGGGGGATATAACACTTTAAACAGCAGCAGGCTGTTGGATGCAATTCACAGCCTAGCGCACTCCTTGCCGGCCAAGCTCTCATTAACGCAGGACCTGAAGATTGACGTCGTTCAGGTATATACATCATCAGATCCACCTCTCCCTCAGTCGATTATAGTGTGGAATAGAAATCCTATCGGTCGCAGCAATTAGCCTCCAGATGCCTAGGTATCTTACTCCCAAGACCTGTGGCTGAGAGGCAGCCAGCATACATGACGAATCAAATCTGCAGAATGCTCAGCCTGCTGCATTCTGCTGCATTCTGCTGCATAAAGGTGCTGACAACTATGTCACACACCTAGAGCCTGATTTCACGCAGGCTGGGAATGAAAGGCCAGCCCGCCCCCGCTTCTCATATTTCTGACCTACTTCGTATTTTGCTATTTATTCTCCCTCGTCAACCTTGCCTTAACATCTTCCCTAACGTATGCGCTCGCATATTATCAACAGCTACTGCTTTGTTATTCACCAGTGATTAAGCGTCAGTTATAGCAGACACCACAAAATACACAGTCGGCTGGATATGCGCCCTTCCCACCAAGTTTAACGCAGCGAAGGCCTTCCTCAACGAGAAGCACGAAGACACTCCTTCTGTCACACGTTGCAACAATAACAGCTATACGCTAGGCAGGATCAGCTGTCATAATATAGTGGTCGCCGTCTTGCCTGACAGGGAGTATGGTATAACTTCAGCAGCGGTAGTGGCTCAGGGCATGCTGCACAGCTTCCCTAACGTGCATATTAGGCTCATGGTCGGCATTGGCGGCGGCGCGCCCAGCTTGAAGCATGATGTGCGGCTTGGCGATATTATGGTTAGCAGTCGTGACAGAGGTAAAGGCGGCGTCTTCTAGTACGATTTCAGCAAGCTTGTCTAAAACCAGGACGTCGTCTCCTTTGAACACATGGATTTCTTAGACTAACCACTGATGGCGCTTCGAACAGCTGTAAACGCCCTAAAGGGCCAGTATGAGATGGAGGGGCATCAGCTTAATGCGCATATCGAAAAGGCACTAGCACAGTAGCCTCGCCTACGAAAAAGATATGCGCGGCCCCCTTCGCACAGCAATAGGCTATATCAATCCAGTGTCCTTCATCTAAACTCAGTAGACGAATGCGATAGCGCATGCAGCGATAATCCGACTCACCTCGTGTATCAGACTGAACGAGACGAACTTAACGATAACCCCGCTATCCACTACAGATTGATTGCTAGTTCGAACCAACTGATAAAAAACGCCACTATTAGGGATAATCTGGCAAAAGAAAAGGGCGTCCTATACTTCGAGATAGAGGCAGCTGGTCTCATGAACTATTTCCTATGTCTAGTGATCTGAGGGATCTGCAACTACTCTGATTCGCACAAGAATAAGAACTAGCAAGGGTTTGCAGCGATAACGGCGGCTGCTTATGCGACAGACCTCCTACGCTAGATTCCGCCCAACAGAGTTGAGGAGGAGAAGCTAATTGGGGCTATACTGGGCCAGAGTTAGTATGACAGTTCAAGTTTGATTCGTGCTATCTAACTCGTCATAGTTCAAGAATATCTCAGCTGTGTACACTAAGATGTGATTAGAACGAAGGCTGCTGTGATAGCCTCTAGAAACGATCAGCATATTGAGAAGCTCTATTGCTAGCTATCACCTGCAGATCCGTCCACGAACGCCATGAGAGCGCGAGAATGCCGGCACGCTGGCACTAGAAGTTAGCTGCTGCAAAACGCTGCGTTCTGCGAGTGGGAGGCTGGACAACGTCAACACCTATGGCTCTATAGACTTGCCGGATGTAGCAAAACAGTTCTGAGTATGATAATTCTTGATCATCTCGAGCAAACAGGCGCACACTATACACTAAGGTTCTTCTTCGATTTCAACAACATAAGGAAGCAAAAGCTTGAGGACTTACTACGCTCATTAGCGTTTCAACTTTACTATGCCAGTGCAGAGGCCGCAAAACAACTCGATAATCTTTTTATATCTAGTGATGAGGGCTGCAGACAACCAGACGTCAGTGCTCTTTCAGCCTGTGTTGAGTTGATGCTACAGAGTTCCCTAAAGGTTGCTGTCATCCTAGACGCTCTAGACGAATGCATAACGAGAAGAGAGCTCCTTTCCTGGGTTGGGGGCCTTGCTTCCGGCTCAAACACAAGCAGCGTCAAGGTGATTGCGACCGGGCGGCCTGAAGCAGAATTTCAACGCGAGATACCTCGGCATTTCGGCGAGAGCAACTGTAAGCTGCTTGATAAGGAGGCTGTCAACGCCGATATACGCTCCTATGTCGACCATGAGCTCCAGCAGCCGCCTGATTTCAAGGATAAAAAAATACCTCACGATCTTCTTGATCAAATTCGCAGCCGAGTTGGAGACGGCGCCAACGGAATGTGAGTTTACAGGATACATCATAATAAATTACCGAATTCTAATCACTAGTCTAGGTTTCGATAGGCGGCGTGTCAGCTGGACAGTCTCGCCAAATGTCTCCACCCTCAGGCCATCAGAGCAGCTCTAAGTAATTTGCCCCGGGATCTCGACGAGACGTATAAGCGCATGCTCCAGAACATACCGCTGGAGCTTAAGGACGATGCGTTTCGTCTTCTACAGTTTCTCGTCCATGCCAAACGACCTCTGACAGTCTCGGAAGCGGTGGATGTGATTGCCACAGTAATAGAGAAAGGACAACCAGAGTTCAACGTCGAACGCAGGCTTCTTCGTGACGGCGACATACTGTTTTACTGCCCCAGTTTGGTAGCAATCGCCGAAGTCACGAAGTATGGGGAAACTGTGACAGAGGTGCAGCTCGCCCACTTTTCAGTTAAGGAATATTTGGTGGACCGAGGCCAGTTTAAACTTGAAGTTGCTAGTAGCGCAATCGCGAGGACTTGCTTCACTTATATCAGAGGAATTGGTTGTAGTCTCCAGATGATGAGACCAACTTTCCCTCTGGCAACATATGCTGCGGAAGTTACAATGGAAAATGCTCGGCTAGCAGAAGCGTCTACCAAGATTGTCCAGGAGGCTGTAACTTTCTTCCAGGAAGGGACTACCTTTGAACGATGGCGCCATCTATATGAGCCTGATCTTCGTTGGTCTCTCAATTATAGTTTCCCTGAAGCAAAACATCTCTATTATACTTGTCTCGGTGGACTCCTAACAGTATCCAGGCGTTTGCTCGATCAAGGCGCAGACGTCAACGCGCAGGGCGGCTGGTATGGCAACGCTCTCCAGGCCGCCTCTTATGGAGGCCATCGAAGGATTGTGGAACTTCTCCTCAGTCAAGGCGCGGATGTCAACGCCAGAGGCGGCAGGTTTGGCAACGCTCTCCAGGCCGCCTCTTATGAAGGCCATCACAAGATTGTGGAACTTCTCCTCAGTCAAGGCGCAGACGTCAACGCGCAGGGCGGCATGTATGGTAACGCTCTCCAGGCCGCCTCTTATGAAGGCCATCAAAAGATTGTAGAACTTCTCCTCAGTCAAGGCGCAGATGTCAACGCCAGAGGCCGCAGGTTTAGCAACGCTCTCCAGGCTGCCTCTTATAGAGGCCATCACAAGATTGTGGAACTTCTCCTCAGTCAAGTCGCGGATATCAACGCCCAGGGCGGCGACTATGGCAACGCTCTCCAGACTGCCTCTTATAGAGGCCATCACAAGATTGTGGAACTTCTCCTTAGTCAAGGCGCGGATATCAACGCGCAGGGCGGCGACTATGGCAACGCTCTCCAGGCCGCCTCTTATGAAGGCCATCAAAAGATTGTAGAACTTCTCCTCAGTCAAGGCGCAGATGTCAACGCGCAGGGTGGCGACTATAGCAACGCTCTCCAGGCTGCCTCTTATAGAGGCCATCACAAGATTGTGGAACTTCTCCTCAGTCAAGGCGCAGATGTCAACGCGCAGGGTGGCGACTATAGCAACGCTCTCCAGGCTGCCTCTTATAGAGGCCATCACAAGATTGTGGAACTTCTCCTCAGTCAAGTCGCGGATATCAACGCCCAGGGCGGCGACTATGGCAACGCTCTCCAGACTGCCTCTTATAGAGGCCATCACAAGATTGTGGAACTTCTCCTTAGTCAAGGCGCGGATATCAACGCGCAGGGCGGCGACTATGGCAACGCTCTCCAGGCCGCCTCTTATAGAGGCCATCACAAGATTGTGGAACTTCTCCTTAGTCAAGGCGCGGATATCAACGCGCAGGGCGGCGACTATGGCAACGCTCTCCAGATTACCTCCGAACGAGGCTATCAAGAGATTGTAGAACTTCTCCTCAGTCAAGGCGCAGATGTCAACGCGCAGGGTGGCGACTATAGCAACGCTCTCCAGGCTGCCTCTTATAGAGGCCATCACAAGATTGTGGAACTTCTCCTCAGTCAAGGCGCAGATATCAACGCCCAGGGCGGCGACTATGGCAACGCTCTCCAGATTGCCTCTGAACGAGGCTATCAAGAGATTGTGGAACTTCTCCTCAGTCAAGGCGCAGATGTTAACGCCCAGGGCGGCGACTATGGCAACGCTCTCCAGGCTGCCTCCGAACGAGGCTATCAAGAGATTGTGGAACTTCTCCTTAGTCGAGGTGCAGATGTCAATGCGCAGGGTAGCGACTATGGTAACGCTCTCCAGGCTGCCTCTTCTGAAGGCCATCAAAAGATTGTGGAACTTCTCCTTAGTCAAGGCGCAGATGTTAACGCGCAGGGTGGCGACTATAGTAACGCTCTCCAGGCCGCCTCTTATAGAGGCCATCAAAAGATTGTGGAACTTCTCCTCAGTCAAGGCGCAGATTTCAACGCCAGAGGCCGCAGGTTTAGCAACGCTCTCCAGGCTGCCTCTCATAGAGGCCATCAAGAGGTTGTACAGCTTCTTCTCGATAAAGGGGCAAATGAATATGGCGACCGCTAGCAAAAGTTGGTTAATTAGGAATCAATCATGTTTTTTTAAAGAAGTCATCCTTATAAACACTCCCTGGTTGCATAGCCAATCGCCGTCAACCGATTACACAGTGCTGAAGTGGACATCCTTTTCTAGACCATTTTGTTGCATGGTGTGACTCAGAACTGGAGCTTTCCGTATGGAGACGTTCATGCTATGATGCGGTTCTTGAGGACTTCGACAGGGACTCCCATCTTCAACAGCACAGCTCAAGTTTACCTACAGGTAGGGCAACAGAGCGGCTTCCGTGAAGCGAACGCCACGACCGATTACGCTGGACGTTTGTGGGAAAAGCGTGTTTTTCTTTTTCTGCTGACGTCCTTCCCTTGGCAACGACTGTATTGTGGCCCAATGCTGACGACATAATTCCTTCAAGAGCCTGCTCGCCAAGAATACGGTTGACGCCTGTAGCGTATGGCGTAGTTAGAATGATTGTAGAATGAGAGGCTATCGGTGGGTCGACGTGGTCCGAATATTGTTGGGATGCAGTCCACTATTTATTAAGGACAGTTGTAGAGCCAATAAGCTTTCGAATATTTGCGCAATGAAAATGGAGCTTGGCTTTGGGTTAGGAAAGATTGTGTCTTGTCGTCTGGCACACTGTGGGAATATTCAACAGAGTCTCCGCTGTAATCACTACTTACAGCGACTTTAGTCGACCTAGCATAATCAGATTGGTCCCCTACATTGCACGTATTACCGCGGCCACTTTTGGCCTACTCTTGTACCTCAAAGTCCTGTAAAGTACCCCTGGCTCGTGCGCCCAGACTAGAATGAGTGCAAAGGGGACACTAAATTTGCACATAGCTGTACCCTCGTGGAGAGATGTCATCATCTTCAGCAATACGTGGACTTTGCACTAGTCCCGACCGCACTTGGATCATGGAGTGGGGGAAGAAGATTATCTGGCTCCCTAATGAGTATAGACCAACAGCGTCAGCCATCAGGGGCTCAGTTATGCTGATTGGCTGTGCATCAGGACGTGTCATGCGTATCTTAGCTGCAAGTTAGTATCCCTAGCGGCATCGTGGGATGAAAACTAGGCATTCTCTTGTAGTCTCATCATTTCTATACGTCGCGTGACACAGGAAGGGTCTGGGAGGAAGGATACTTTTATGTTAGATATGTCAACTTGCAGCTGTTTAAGGCATGATTAAATTCCCTAGTATGGCCGCTTCTAGTTTCAGCTTTCAGCTTTCAGCTTGGCACTTGAAGACACTCCGTCATTGCGTAAGGGTCTTTGATGTGATCATTCCGTCATATTCATAATATGGATGAACCTGATGCTCAGTCTCAGGCCGTGTGGGGCAAGTCAACCAAAGAGACCCACCTAATAGGAAGTCTCGAGTCAAGCTGACGAGTGTATATAGTGCAAACTTCGATGCCTCTTGACACTGTGTGGAGTTCTCAAAACAAATCAACGAGTGTTGTGAAGCGGAAGACACATTTGCACCAAACTGTACGGCAATCGGGCATCAGACTAAGAAAATAGCTGGATCGTCACTAGAGGGACTAGATTAGAAATCGTTTCAGATCCTTGAAGATTCGTTGTCTCCAGAGGCTGACATGGATTACGCGAGATCTACAGTACTATCACCATCAAAAAGCCTGACTTATCTATGCATATTAGCGGCTTAAAGAACACCAACAAAATGGATTGTCATTAATTAACTCTGGTCCTGAGCTGCTGCTGGACAAAAGAGATCTATATGTATGTAAAAAGTTGAAGTTCTGCGCTTGCGCACTATCCAGAATAAGAAGAAGCGGTTGAGCATGTGAAGAATGATCGCTGGCAAATTAGTGAACGGAAGATGGAGAATCTACACGTACAATTGCTGAGAAGGATGTTTCGAGATCGAGCTTATCTTAATAAAAGGTGTTCTTTCCGCCAAACTTCTACAGGTCAGATACTGTTAAGGTTCACTGCCCCAGCTCTTATATCATCAACAACATTGTTACGGCCCAACCAGTAGGGGTGCGGGCCGGCGTGACCATTTAGTGCAGAACAGGGAATAATAATACTAGTGTTACGCTCAGCTATCCGACAGTAGGGTCTGCTAACAGAAGTTGGGGATTGACGCTTAGGGATCTGAGGCTGTATTGTGGTTCGTGTCGTAAGGTACAAGCTGTAGTAGATCAGGTCTTCCGAGGCGAAGGTGATTAGTTTTAGAATCAACAAGTTATACGCAGGGAAGGTAAGCTGAAAGTATCCGAAGATGTTTCCAAAGTTGATTGCTGGAGAGCTATGTATGGAAGTCTGACTATAGGCGAGGCTCAGGTCATACTATGTACAAGTCTTATTCCTGAATATGTCCCTTTGGCTCTCTTCATATACCCTCATCGGCGGCCATAGAGGTTTCTCTCCCAGGCCATTCTGGCCCTCGAATGGTTCTCCGTGAGAGTCATACGGCAGTCAACAAGGTGCGCCTCCAGGCGGCAAACTGCGAAGGAATAAAGTTAGAAGGGGAGAAAGATGTCCCTTTGTACCTTGGGTCAGTCATATTGATCCAAAGAAAATCCATATCTTATCGTCGCGCGATTTGAATCATAGTTTTCCTGTTTCTGAATGAGTTTCTGTTGTTCCCGTGATCCTGCACATGTAGTACAAATGTCCTGTTCTTGCCGCCCAACCCTCGAGTTGGGTCGGTCGATTGCCATCCTTGTATACGGTTCGTAACAGTCCGTCACTGGCTGTGGTTGCCTGCTTGCAAACCAAAAGTGAAGTCAATGTAGCTTATTACAGTGCGAGGGTTATTTTACCTCTGAAGGATACTTGATTATGCCCATCTTTCACTGTGGGCAGGGGACACCTCCGCAATTTTTAGATGTTAGTCTGCAAATGCACAACCCTGCAAAAGCATGCCTGCAAATGCATAATCCTGCAAAAGCACACCTGCAAAGCACGCCTGCAAAAGCACGCCTGCAAATGCATAATCCTGCAAAAGCACACCTGCAAAGCACGCCTGCAAAAGCACGCCTGCAAAAGCATGCCTGCAAATGCATGACCCTGCAAAAGCAGGCCTGCAAATGCATAACCCTGCAAACGCACACCTGCAAACGCACACCTGCAAACGCACACCTGCAAACGCACACCTGCAAACGCACACCTGCAAATGCATAACCCTGCAAACGCACACTCGGTTATATCTGCCCGGGTTGTTGGTCTCCATGTCTGTACCTTCCTGTATATTACACCTCTCGTCCCTATGGCAATCTGCATCCACATGCAGCTTCTGACGACGTCGTATCCAGGTACCGCAAATCAGTTCGTTCAGGCGGCCCCAGGGGCCACCAGATGAGCTTCTGGTCTTAATACAAGCCACAGACCTCTGTCCAACACAGTCGGAGCTCGGTCAGTCTGGGGCAGTTAAGCAGGAAATCATGTTCTCGGTCCGTGCGTGCGTTGCTGCAGGCAGGTACCCTTGTCGTGCGTTCCCAGGAACACGCTATCTTTGAGCCGTGAGACCGTGAGCCGCTCAAGTACAAGGTTCAACACAGGCGTCTGAAGGCTAAGTACGCGGTGTCTTAGAATCTCTCGCTGAGTGGAGCAGGGTATTTAATTATAATATCCTAAGGGCTACTCTACTCCGTACGCTCGTTGATGCATGCCTTCAGAGAGAGATCAGGGGCCCTAGTCACTTTGGGCTACTGCATCCGTGGCGATTTGCTGCCGTAGGAATTGTGTTAGCCTAGGTACCCCGAATGCGAACAACACTGTGCAGCATTCCCCGGCCCAGTGACGTTCAGACCATGGTCAAAACTTCATGGATCGCATTGGATAACCTTGAGTTGCCCAGCTCATCAGCAAGCCTTACCAGATGTCATGTCTGTGGCCAATAGCGGACCTTGATCGAGTTCCTGCCCCTGAGCAACACTAGCCTTAAAGAGCCTTTTGCAAGTAAAGCTGAAAGGAAGGTACTTTTTAGATTTCAGCGATCTGTGACGGTATTGTGGAAACACCAAGGATCTACAGCCTCGTCAATCGCCTATCTGAATCAGGAACTGCGTGAAGTAGCTTGATTAATCTAGCTACGAACGCTAGGCGCGCCTAGCTAATTACATAGTACAAAGTGGTGTAGCCGATCCCTTACGTAAGACGGGACGGGCCGGGGTTCGGGCCTCGGGTCCGAGCCCGGCCGACTACCGTCTCGCAGGAACCTGCGCTGCCGCAAGTGCAAACGCTCAATAATCGAAACATTGATCGACCAACTTGGCGCTATTGTCGCCGCCTAGTAGGTAGATCCATATCCCTCGATTGAGTTATCTGACTTGATTTGTTATGATACCCATACTGCACACAAGGATAATAGCTCAACGACTGACCAATTGGGATATCGGGCGGCTAGAACAAGGCATTTAGGCGTTTGTTCCAGCTGATCGCGATCAACTCCTGTACCTAATAGGCGGTCATCTACTAGGTGGACAAAGGACACTGTTCAGGACTTGTGGATAGTATGACCTGAGCCTGGTTCAAGGTCAGACTTCCATAGCTCTTCAGCAATCAACTTTGTATTCATCCTCAGGATACTATTAGCTTACCTTCGCTGCGAAAATACCTTGTTGAGTCTAAGACTAATCGCCTCAGCCTCTGAAGACCTGATCTACTACAACCTACGCTCTACGACCCAGTTCACGTTACAACCACGGTTTATTAGCGCCAATCCCCGGCTTCTGTTAGCAGACCCTATTGTCAGAGAGCTGATCGTAACACCTTGATTGCTAATAGTATGACGTAATACCCTAGTGTTTGTCTTCAATACTTGCAAGTTAGCCTACAATCAGATCCCAAAAAGGCAAAGCACGAAATTAATGAGTATAGGGTTCAGAATTGACTTGCTTGCACTTGCGGCAGCCCTGTCAGGAACTAAGCGGCATGACATTCGACTGAATTGAGTGTGACAGCTCATCTCTGCCCAGAACATCCGTCCAGAATCGCAGGCAACGTCTACTTCGGGGCTAGATCAACGCTTCGCCCCGGAGCTCTCATCATTTGTTGTATTTGTTCAGTGCTGAGTTTCAGCCTTTGGGTAACCAGTGCCACTTTGTCCTTCCCGATGTCCTGGTTCTCGCATTCTTGCCATGCCATATCAATTCCTTCCATATTTACGCCAGCGAATTTGACAGTAACAGAACATGGTCGATTATGGCCACACATCTCGTCAGGCATAAGAGAACTTTGGCCCCTCTCCCATCGATTTCCGCGACGATTTGGTTTCCATCCGTTCTCGTCTGCTGTGTGGATCCGTATCCCAGTCAACAACCAGAATTTCCGACTGGTTGCCCGTTCCTTCAAAAGGATTCCACAACTCCGTACAGGGGCTCTGAGCTGCATCCGACTTCGGTGGCCTTACTTTCGACGTACTGTTACACTTTTGTATGATTTGATTGCCCTTGCTGAAGGAACAGATGCTCCAGACGTCGGTTGGGGGGCTGGTCGGCCTGTTTGATCGCAGGATTCTGTTTCAAGTCCTTCGATGAGAGAGACCGGGTCCACAGGTGCCATTTTCAAGTCGGATGTGACAGTTACTTGCTCCGTACAACTTGAAGCTGAGGCCTCCCAGACGTCGAATTGGTCAGACACTTCCATTGGAGTCCCGCATACGTTGCAACCGCCATCAAGAAAAAGTTCCAAATCCTCATCGAAGATTCCAGCCGAAGGCAAGGCACAAGTTCCAGTCGCAGATCGAAGTTCCCTAGCCAGGAGATCCATAGGCCGCAACTCTGGTGATTTTGATCCCACCCAGAGATTCAAGTTCTCGTCTTTGCTCATAACAAGGTTCGGTACGAGGAAGTTGTGACTAGACGTCTCTGGCGTGACTTTTATATTCTGTAAACTGGCTGCAGAGGATGAAGACAACGTCTGAAAGCGGCCGAGTTCGCACAAATTCTCCAGGTTACATGTGCCCTCTTCGTGGAAGCGGGAATAGGCCCAAGCCATGGTGACCATGCTGTAAAGGTTCAGGTCCAGACGAAAAGAGATTGAATAGATTCAAGACCTTGCAGATCTTCGGTCAAAAAATGAGGTGTTTGAAGTCGTAAGATCTGAAAGAATGAAGACGATGTCTACGCATTTTTAAATCTGTTCTGGCTACAGGTCTCATGAGCCCGGAAGGCAAAGTTAACTCCAAGCCTTCGGAAGAAAGCCTTGGAAGTGTTACTGAACGCAGATCATCCTGCTAACTGCATGTCTTTGCGACGGGAGGCCTCCAACAAGGCGTTTTCACATACACAGCCTCGTGGCGTCGCGAAGGGCCTGTTTCGCTGGAGTGGGTTCAGAAGAATTTACACCCAGGTGAAAATATGTTCCGATGGAATCGAAACGGGCATTGCGTGGATGTGGCTGATCAGATAAACGACCTCAAGCAATTCGAGAACGGTTTAAGATGAAGCACTGCAGCAAGAAGGGAGGATGAGGTGTGTGATACTTCCCGGCGACTTCATCTGACCGTGGTGAGCTCATCGTGAGCTGATCTAGCTGGCATTAGAAGTGGGTGAATTGCAAGTAGTCTATAATTAAACTCGATGTACCGTACCCTTGAATAGGGGAGTAGCTTCAGGCTCTAACAGTCACTGGTTCAATCCGATGATTCATGCGATCTCCGCAGCTGATTGCAAGAGCATCCAGAAGTTGGTCGCACCATGTAGCAACAACTAGGCTGCATGAAAGAAGAACATAATTTAAAGCAATCAGCGGGTTAAACTTCCGTTCTGGTCTTTTGTCCCCTGAAGAATGACGCCGTACCTACCTAGCCTGAGACTTGAATAGCCGGGTCCAGGGTACCGCCACAAGATCCAGAGAACCATACAGAAGGCCGTAGAATGAACCAGTAGAGTTGTGACTTTAAGATGCTCCGGGACGTCGACGAAGCGTGCCTGTGTTCTTGTATAAATGCGTTGAGCGTTCCTTCAAGGCCGGTCATTATCTGTCCAAACCGCAACTTCTTAAATTTGTATTTGTCAGTCATGTTTCATCCCAAACCATCCCAAGATATGAAAAGCTCTGCTCATCATTCAATTGAACGACCAAAAGAGCCACCAGTGCGTTTGCCTAAAGTACTTCTTGTGGCCCTCTTTTTCTACATTCTCGTCGAGTCGACAATAGCAATAGCCAGCTTTGCTCTTTTCGCACTATCGATCTTCAAATATAGCCTTTTGGTCATTGGGATTGCAGTAGCAGTGCTACGAATTGACTTCTCGCAAACGCAAACCAGCCAACTCGCCCCTATGTATGACGACGACGCCGTCATGTTGGACAGAAGTTGATGAACTGTATGAGGTATTCATCAACATTCTCTGTCCTGTTCTATACCTCCTCAACTTCACTTTGCACATCGCCAGATCGTGTTTCATACTCAGGAACGCGGCCGTGGCCAGTGGAATGCCCTCAGCGGCTTGATCGCAAGCACCGCGAATCGTATCAGAAGACCTTTGTCAATACTTGCACCATAACGACGAACTCATCCATCGCGGGCACGACCACAAGCGCCAAGACCAGAATCGGCTCAGCTTATTGAAGACATGGCGACGGTATCAGCAAACAAAGCTTGCGTCGTCCATACGCTGGCATTTTCACACACACATATGGACTACATGGATGCTGCTTTTTGCTATGTTTATCATAATTCCCTTTACCGTCGGAAAAAGAAAACGGGCGAAATTAGACAAATCTACCATAGACACTCAATCAAACATAAGTTTTACAGTACAGAGGACCGCAAAACTGGCGTTCACTTCTCAGGTCTATTGTTATTAGTGAGCACACACATGGCATCAGTACTGTACTCCAAATTTCGAGAAAATGAATTTTTTAACTGGGTGAAAAAAGTATTTAGCGTCGCTATGTGTGTACAGTTTGGTGCAAATGTCTGTTCCGCTTTGTGCGCAAACATTCTATCTTTCAACAGCAGAGATGACTTAAAATTACTTCAAGGTACCTTGCAATTTCTCAAAGATCCAAATTGGGCTGCAGATTAGGCTACAAACGTCCCATAATAGCTGTGATTACTTTTATTTGAAAGTAACTAAGGGTACTCTAAGTACAGACGTCTGCTCCAATCCCATTGGTCCACTGCAGCAGTGCGAGCGGCGCAGCAGGCTACCTGTCAGCTACCTTGCCGACCCCTGTCGCAGAGTGAGTTATCAGCAGGTAAATAGAACGAACTAGAATGCTTATGTCACGTGCACGCCAGAAGGCGAACGATTGCAGAACTGTATGCAATATCTGCAGGGGAGAATGCCACCTCCATCTCGACAGCATACCATTCCGCGCAGATATGCTTCGTCACTATGCCCGATCTGAGCACTGACGCCAAACTTAACGATGATATTGGAACTATCGCGCGGACTAGCGTGGGGGGCGGACCTAAGCGCAACCATAGTACAGAGCTCTGTAAGGCTTCAGATCCCTGCGCTGAGAGATCCCAGACTTACTGAGTATAGCATCAGGGGTTGATGTTGCTGAATTGAATCCTCAACTATCTAAGCAGACCTATACGATTGATACTTCTGCGAATGAACATATAATAACCTCAGACGCATACACGGTTGGCTAGGTGTGCGCCCTCCCGCTGGAGATAGCCGCTGCGAAGGGAATGCTCGACCAGATACACCTAGACCTACCCCATCAAGACCCAGCCGATCATAACAACTACATCCTAGGCTAAATTCAGGGCCACAATATTGCGATTGCTTGCCTGCCTGCAGGCATCTATGGAACGACAACAGCAGCTAGCGTCGCTAAAGACCTATTACAAACCTTCAAGTCCATTCGATTTGGTCTACTCATCAGCATTAGAGGGGGTGCGCCATCACACACAAACGACATCCGGCTGGGCGATGTTATGGTCTGCCAACCAACTGGAACCACTGGAGGCGCCATCCAGTATGATCGGGGGAAGACCGTCCAGGATGGGGAGTTCCAACGCACAGGGTCGCTCAACAGCCCACCCCAGGTCTTATTAACAGCCTTAGGCCGCTTACAGGCTGAGCATATGATAGAAGACAGCAAAATCCCCTAATACCTGGCTGAGCTTATGCAGAAAAGTCCAAAGAGAATGAAAAAAAAGTTCAGCTATCAAGGCTCCTCAAACGACTGTCTCTATCGAGCTGATTATAAGCATGTTGGGCAGGACTCTACTTATGACCAGTGTGACCAGACACACATAGTTCAACAGGATGCTAGAGACGACACAGAGCTATTGGTTCATTACGGAATAATTGCATCAGGCAGCCAGGTCATTAAGCACGGAAACAGATGCGATCGGTTAGCTAGAGACCTTGGAGCACTCTGCTTTGAGATGGAAGCTGCCGGGCTGCAGGACTTTCCATGTCTCGTCATTCGTGGCATCTGCGACTATTCGGACTCTCACAAGAACAAGACATGGCAAGAATACGCAGCTGCGACGGCTGCTGCATTTGCGAAGGAACTTTTGTCGACCATTCGACTAAATAAAGTTCTAGAGGAAAAGCCTATTCAAGCGCTAGTCAGTGGTAAGTGACTTTCGTTTCTTATTTGAGCGACCGGAACGCAATCGTCATGATATCCACAACAAGGTTTTCTGACCACTAAAGAACATGAAGACATGGTCAAATGGGATAACGGGAAAAGTACTAACAGTTGACCCTTCTATTAGTCGCGAAAGAACACCTTCAAGTCTCGGCCGATCATCGTGATATTTCGTCTCAACAGCTCTTTGAGCAAAAGCGCACAAAGTATGTTTCACTCTTTGATTTACAGTCCTATGCTCACAGTATATAGCCAAATACTTGAGAATTGCTCTCTTGAGCTTCACATTGTCCATGAAGCGTGCTACGACAGTGCCGACTTTCAGAACAGTCCAAAATGCGAGAAGGGCACTCGAACTCGCATCCAAGAAACAATCCACGATTGGGTCGACGACAACTCTGCCGAGCCTCTGTTCTGGCTTCTGGGACCGGCAGGGACCGGCAAATCCACCATCGCACGCACTATCGCTGACACTTTCGCCACTAAGAAACAACTTGTGGCTGGCTACTTCTTCAAAAGAGGAGAACGGTGCCGTAATGACACAAGACGTCTGTTTTCTACCCTCGCTGCGCAGCTGGCTGAGACAATCCCTCACTTTAAAAACTGTCTTCGTAATTCCCTCAACGGTCTTGACAGAGATGCAGTAGAGAAGAAGGGCCTTGACTTCCAGTTTGAAAAGCTCTTATGGCTCCCCTTGGGGGATCTACCTCCCAATGACGTGAGTCATATATCTAGGGTGATTATTATCGACGCTTTGGACGAATGCGAGCAACCCGAACACCTCCTGAGGGTTCTTATGCTATTATCAAAGCTTCGCAACATTGTTGCGGTACGCTTGCGTATATTATGCACAAGCAGGTCAGCCCCGGAGATCGCATATGCCTTCAGGCTTCTTGCTCAAGAGAAGGCTGTTCACAGCTTAGAGCTCCACCGTGCATTCTCTGAAGATACTAAGGCTGACGTCAAGACCTTTCTGAAGACCAGATTCGCAGAAGTCCAAATAAAACGCAAAGTGCACCAAAACCCCTGGCCTATCATTGAAGACTTTGATCGCATGGTTCAACTGGCCACAACTCCTGAACCCCTCTTCATCTACGCTGCAACTCTTTGCCGATTCGTTTATGACGAAAAGCACCCCCGAAATCCTAAGAAGCAGCTGAGACTGTGGCTCGAGCAATGCGAAAATGGCAAGTCTCAGCTAAACCAAATTTACGATCCTATTCTCAGTCAGCTCTTCCTTGGGAACGATGAAGCGGAATCTGGCCAGAAGCTGCAATTCCTAGGGGCTCTGATCCTTCTGGCCACCCCACTGCCTGCTAGCTCTCTGATCATTCTCCTGGGCATGGATATGGATGACGTGAACTGGTGGCTTCCAGAGTTGCATGCAGTGCTGGACATCCCCCCTGAGTCTCATCGCCCGGTACGATTACTACACAAATCGTTCAGCGACTTTCTTCTCAACTCTGGGGACACACGGACGACTAAGCATTGTGTAAATGCTACAAAAACTCACGCTATGCTAGCGGTACGATGCATTGAGCGCATGGAAGTAGGACTTAAAGGGGATATCTGCAATATTCAACAGCCGGATGTGCTCAAAGATGAAATCGACAAGCAAGTGATAGCTACACATATTCCTGCCGATCTCCACTATGCATGCCTATACTGGGTTTACCACTTACAGCAAAGCAGTGGGGCTCTAGGAGATGTCGTTTGTGGGTTCCTCTATAGGCACCTTCTTCACTGGTTAGAAGTCTTAGCACTTCTAGGTGAGGTCTCAAATGGTGCTACTGCAATGAAGCAGCTTCTCAATATATGCAAGGTTAGTGAACAATTTTATATGCTATACTTAGGCTGACCCTTTTCATAGAAGTATCCCAACACACCTGCGGAACTGAGCGAGTTCGTAAAAGATGCCAGCAAGGTCATTGGAAGTTTTGGATCCATGATTGAGCAGACGCCGCTTCAGGTCTATGGAGCACTGGTTTTATTCTCTCCGGTTGGAAGCAAAGTACGGCAAAAATGCTGGAACCAACGCATGCCGAATCTGCCTCATATTCACGGCGTAAAATCTGATTGGGACGCACACCGGCAAACGCTCGAGGGCCATACGGACTGGGTCAACGCGGTGGCCTTCTCGCCGGATGGCAAGGTAGTGGCGTCGGCGTCGCAGGACGAAACGGTACGGCTCTGGGACACAGCCACGGGCGCACCCCAGCAGACGCTCAAGGGGCATACGGACTATGTTAACGCAGTGTCCTTCTCGCCGGACGGGGAGGTAGTGGCGTCAGCGTCGCATGATAAGACGGTACGGCTCTGGGATGCGGCCACGGGTGCGCCCCGACAGACGCTTAAGGGCCATACGGAATGGGTGAACGCGGTGGCCTTCTCGCCAGACGGCAAGGTAGTGGCGTCAGCGTCAGACGATGAGACGGGACGACTCTGGGACGCAGCTACTGGCGCACTCCGGCAGACGCTCGAGGGTCATACGGACTGGGTCAATGCGGTGGCCTTCTCGCCAGACGGCAAGGTAGTGGCGTCGGCGTCGCGCGACAGGACGGCGCGGCTCTGGGACGCGGCCACAGGCGCGCCCCTACAGACGCTCAAGAGCCACACGAGATATGTTAGCGCGGTGGCCTTCTCGCCGGACGGGCAGGTAGTGGCGTCGGCGTCGCACGATGAGACGGTACGGCTCTGGGACGCGGTCACAGGCGCGCCCCGGCAGACGCTTAAGGGCCATACGGACTGGGTCAATGCGGTGGCCTTCTCGCCAGACGGCAAGGTAGTGGCGTCAGCGTCAGACGATGAGACGGGACGACTCTGGGATGCGGCCACAGGCACACCGCGGCAGACACTTAAAGGCCATACAAGCTATGTCAACGCAGTAGCCTTCTCGCCTGACGGCCAAGTAGTGGTGTCAGTGTCGGACGACGAGACGGTAAGGCTTTGGGACGCGGCCACGGGCGCACCCCGGCAGACGCTTAAGGGCCATATGGAATGGGTCAACGCGGTGGCCTTCTCGCCAGACGGGCAGGTAGTGGCGTCAGCGTCGCATGATGAGACGGTACGGCTCTGGGACGCGGCCACAGGCGCACCCCGGCAGACGATGGAGAGCCATACGAGCTATATTAATGCGGTGGCCTTCTCGCCGGGCGGCCAGGTAGTGGTGTCAGCGTCGGACGACGGGACGGTACGGCTCTGGGATGCGGCCACAGGCGCACCCCGGCAGACGCTTAAGGGCCATACGAGCTATGTCAACGCGGTGGCCTTCTCGCCGGACGGGCAGGTAGTGGTGTCGTCGTCGGACGATGGGACGGTACGGCTTTGGGGCGTGGCCACAGGCGCACCCCAGCAGACGCTTAAGGGCCATACGAGCTATGTCAACGCGGTAGCCTTCTCGCCAGACGGGCAGGTAGTGGCGTCAGCGTCGCATGATGAGACGGTACGGCTTTGGGACGCGGCCACAGGCACGCCCCAGCAGACGCTCGATATGGGTTTCATTAGCAATATCGCATTCGACCCATGTTCAAACACACGACTGTTCACTGCTTTCGGAATTGTAGACCTAGTCGCAGGTTCTCTAGTAGGCGAATCGGACTCATCTGAGGAGACGGTGTTGTCGTCAGCAGTCTATGAACTTGGTATTAGCCCTAATAACGCTTGGATCATGGAAGGGAAGGATCAAATCGTCTGGCTCCCTGAAGAATACAGACCAACAGCAACAGCCACAAGACACTCAGTTATGGTCATTGGCTGTAAATTGGGGCATGTTATCCATATTGCTACTACAAGAAGCTGCCCCTAACAAGATCGCAGGATCAAATTGCTAAGCATTTGTTTATAGTTTTATTATATCTTTGAATAGCGTGTGTCACGGGCTAGAGCGCGGCCGAGATCTCCGGCTTTGCCGAAGCAGTTACCGAGCTGCCTGGAAATGTCGAATCGTGCGCCAAGTCATGGGACCAATAGGTGATCTGTATTGTTCTTCTTCCCTTCTAGCTAGCCGACACTTGATTACGGCGTCTTTGAAAGGCCTGCTGGAGAGGGGTAATCACAGGGGACCAATGCCACCGTGTTACCGTCAGCTATCCGACAGTAGGGTCTGATAACAGAAGTTAGGGATTGACGCTAATAAACAGGTGATCTTATCGTAAGTCTAGTGTTACGACCCGTTATGCATGGATAACAGTTAACCGACCCACTCGGGCGTCGGGCGGCTAGGACAGGACATTTGTACTCTGCAGGATCACGGGAACAACAGGGACTCACTCAGGAACGGAAGAACTATGGTACAGGTCACGTGATGATAAGGAATGAGCATAGATAAGGGACCCACAGTGAGCGCTCAGTGGAGACTAGAATGAGCGCTCATCCCACTCTAGAATGAGCGCTCATAGTGACAAGGGACACAGCGCTCATGAACAAGCAGAACTGTTCATATAAGACTTATATATATAGTATGACCCTGAGCCTGGCTCATGGTCAGACTTCCATAGCTCTTCAGCAATCAACTTAGTATTCATCCTCAGGATACTCTCAGCTTACCTTCACTGCGAATTACTTGTTGAGTCTAAGACTGATCACCTTAGCCTCTGAAGATCTGATCTACTGTTAGCCTACGACCTATGACCCAGACCACGACCAAGTGTACTGTTATTACGTCTCAATCTCCAGCTTCTGTTAGCAGACCCTACTGTCGGATAGCTGACCGTAACATCTAGGTCGTAGGTCGTGGGCTGTAGTAGATCAGGTTTTAAGAGGCCAAGGTGATCAGTCTTAGACTTAATAAGTATTCGCAGTGTAGGTAGGCTGAAAGTATCCGAAGATGTTTACAAAGTTGATTGCTGATGAGCTATGGGAGTCTAACCATGAGCCAGGCCCAGGTCCCATTATATATAAGTCTAGTACAGTCCCTTTGATTGACAGAACGCTCCTTGTGTGAGCGTTGGTGACCCACCATGAGTGAGCGCTAACGATGCCAAGGGTGAGCGGCTCACACCTCATCTTAACAGTGCTCACGTTCCCCTGGTCACGTGACTTGTACCATAGTTCTTCCGTTTCCGAGGGAGTCCTTGCTGTTCCCGTGATCCTGCAGTACAAATGTCCTGTCCTAACCGCCCGACGCGCGACTGGGGTCGGCCAGCTGTTATCCTTGCATGCGGGTCGTAACATCGGGCAGGGATTAGCAATAAGGGGCAAAATCCCCTTCTTAAGAAGTCGGAGATTACGATGTGGCTGTATATAGTGCGCACACAGAGAGTTACTGACACTGTGTGGAGGCCGGAAAACAAATCAGTTTGTGTTGTAAACAGGAAGGCACATTTGCACGAAACTGTATGCGAAGCTGTGCATTGCGAAATCTCGCCCGACCATCTTCCTCCATGGAAGAGTCCCTGATTGGACACAAGATTACCAATTACAACGATCCAGATCGCCAGGATGAGAGCAGTCCAGGTGGCCAAGACCCAATTTGTTACGGGCAGATCAGGGCAACCAACTGTGGCACAAAGCAAAAGCTTTGGTAATAACGAATATACCCTGTTTTGCACTATGTAGTTACAAGCCTACAGGAACTAACTGCAGCGGTCGTAACACGATTCTGGGCCACTCCATGTCCCAGTCGTCTTATCGCCGTACAATTCCTGCGTTATCTCAAGATGGACAAGGTGTTAGATTAAGGACTCCCGGCTGTAAAGATAGAGTGCGAGGAATCTGGCGGCCATGCACATTCGGCGATTCGGCTCCCGAGGCCCCATTGTATGCCTCAGTGATAGTTGCGAACTGGACCCCGTTCTCCTCAGTGCCGATTCGCAAAAGGCGTAGGGCGTATCGCCGACCGTATCTTCCAAGTCTTGCAAGCCCGAAGTAGCTAATGCCTCAAGCAGAGCGCTGCGAACCATGTGTGCACGGTACCCACCGCATGTTCGACGGAAAGGTTATAGACGTACCTATGTACAATGTTTACTACAGTACCTAGTTTACCCTGCACTTGTCAAAAAATGTGAATAGTCAACAGGGGTCACGCGTACAGTGGCTCACGAAAAGGGCTTCATCCTCAGCAACTCTCTCTTCTCTTTCCGCACGGACATTTTGGCTTCTTGGCGCTTAGCACAGTAGGTATTCTTATCTTATCAACCCCGCTACAACCTGTAAGCTCCTCAATGAGCTAGGTACCCAGATTACGATGGGCATGGGGTTTGCTGTGGATCAGGTTATGCAGACCTATGTATATTACAATGGGTCTCATTATTCTAAGCATAAAGGCAATTATGCACGTAACTTATACTCTCTATACGACTACCACCGCCTACATTACCATAATTATGTCCCAAAAGCATCTTAAGCATCAGCTCCGAATATTTACCTACGCACGTTTCAGCTTTTCTTTCCAATTCTTCCACTTATATCTCAGGCTATGTCCAGTACCCACGCGAGGCGGCGGAACCGACTCTTGCCTTGGAAGCTGTAACCTGTAAATCTGATCAGACAAGTGAGTGTACCGCTCACTTCCAGAACCAAATACATCAGCGATGCCTGTCCTAGCGCGATCATAGTGCTCGAAAGCTCTATCTGTCGCACCCAGTTGCTCAAATAGACCGCCAAGATTTTCCAGGGCATTAAGGGCAGGAACATATGTTCTCAGCGTTTCTGGGTGCAACACCTTCTCGTAGCCTTGAAGAGCCCGTTCGTACATGGCCTCGGCGTCTTTGAGTCGGCCCTGGTCCGAGTAGAGGTTGCCTAGATTGTGGACCGTGCCGAGTGTCGACGTGTGGTCTAGCCCTAGTGTCTTCTCATAGCCTTGAAGAGCCTGCTGATACATGCCCTCAGCCTCTTTGAGTCGGCCCTGGTTCTTGTAGAGGAGGCCTAGATTGTACACCGTGTCGAGTGCTGATGTGTGGTCTGGCCCTAGTGCCTTCTCATTGCCTTGAAGAGCCCGTTAGTACATATCCTCAGCCTCTTTGAGTTGGCCCTAGTCTGAGTAGAGGATGCCTAGATTGTCGACCGTGTCGAGTGTCGATGTGTGGTCTGGCCCCAGTGCCTTCTCGTAGCCTTGAAGAGCCTGTTGGTATATGCCCTCGGCCTCTTTGAGTCGGCCCTGGTCTGAGTAGAGGAGGCCTAGATTGTGGACCGTTGAGAGTGTTGATGTGTGGTCTAGCCCCAGTGCCTTCTCGTAGCCTTGAAGAGCCTGTTCGTATATGGCCTCAGCGTCTTTAAGTCGGCCCTGGTCTGAGTAGAGGTTGCCTAGATTGTGGACCGTGCTGAGTGTCGACGTGTGGTCTAGCCCTAGTGTCTTCTCGTAGCCTTGAAGAGCCTGCTGATATATGCCCTCGGCCTCTTTGAGTCGGCCCTGGTCTGAGTAGAGGAGGCCTAGATTGTGGACTATGTTGAGTGTTGATGTGTGGTCTGGCCCCAGTGCCTTCTCGTAGCCTTGAAGAGCCTGTTGGTATATGCCCTCAGCCTCTTTGAGTCGGCCCTAGTTCTTGTAGAGGTTGCCTAGATTGTTAATTATGTTGAGTGCTGATGTGTGGTCTAGCCCCTGTGCCTTCTCGTAGCCTTAAAGAGCCTGTTGGTACATGTCCTCAGCCTCTTTGAGTCGGCCCTGGTCTGAGTAGAGGATGCCTAGATTATACACCATGTCGAGTGCTGATGTGTGGTCTGGCCCCTATGCCTTCTCATAGCCTTAAAGAGCCTGATCGTATATCGCCTCAGCCTCTTTGAGTCAGCCCTGGTCCTTATAGAGGTTGACTAGATTGTTGACCGTTGAGAGTGTCGATATGTGGTCTGGCCCCTGTGCCTTCTCGTAGCCTTGAAGAGCCCGTTGGTATATGTCCTCAGCCTCTTTGAGTCGGCCCTGGTCTGAGTAGAGGAGGCCTAGATTATGGACCGTTGAGAGTGTCGATATGTGGTCTAGCCCCAGTGCCTTCTCGTAGCCTTGAAGAGCCTGTTGGTATATGCCCTCGGCCTCTTTGAGTCGGCCCTGGTCTGAGTAGAGGAGGCCTAGATTGTCGACCGTGTCGAGTGTCGATGTGTGGTCTGGCCCCAGTGCCTTCTCCTTCCCTTGGAGAGCCTGTTCATACATAGCCTTTGCCTCTTTGAGTCGGCCCTGGTATTTATAGAGGTTGCCTAGATTGTTGACCGTATCGAGTGTTGATGTGTGGTCTGACCCCAGTGCCTTCTCCCAGCCTTGAAGAGCCCGTTCATACATCGCCTCAGCCTCGTCAAGTTGGTCCTGGGCTGAGTAGAGGAGGCCTAGATTGTGGACCGTGTTGAGTGTTGACGTGTGGTCTGGCCCCAGTGCCTTCTCCTTCCCTTGGAGAGCCCGTTCATATATCGCCTCAGCCTCGTCAAGTCGGCCCTAGTCTGAGTAGAGGAGGCCTAGATTGTTGACTGTTGAGAGTGTCGATATGTGGTCTGGCCCCAGTGCCTTCTCATTGCCTTGAAGAGCCCGTTGGTACATGTCCTCAGCCTCTTTGAGTCGGCCCTGGTCTGAGTAGAGGTTGCCTAGATTGTCGACCGTGTCGAGTGTCGATATGTGGTCTGGCCCCAGTGCCTTCTCCTTCCCTTGGAGAGCCCGTTCATACATGGCCTTTGCCTCTTTGAGTCGGCCCTGGTATTTATAGAGGTTGCCTAGATTGTTGACCGTCAAGAGTGTCGATATGTGGTCTGGCCCCAGTGCCTTCTCCCTGCCTTGAAGAGCCCGTTCGTACATGTCCTCGGCCTCTTTGAGTCGGCCCTGGTCCGAGTAGAGGTTGCCGAAAGAATGGAACATCCATTCCTTCGTCTCCGGCTCCGCACTAGTGCCTACCTTGATGATGCATTGATCCGCATGTTGTAAGAGCCGTCTTTGGACTAACCAATCCTCTACTTGCTCCTCACTTGGTACGTGTGATGCTACACAACTCATCGCTATCCAAGCCATCTCCTTATCCACCACTCCTAAATTCAGCACATACGTCATCCATGCGTGAACACACCTATGCACACTATATCCGTGGGATTCTCTTCCCACCTCTTCTTTAGGTGGGTCCGCCTCTACTAGTCCATGTTCACAGAGAACTCTCATCGTTGTGTCGAAATTGATCTGGTCTGCTGTCACCTCTTGTAGCCAAGTAGGCCCCTCTGACGCTGCTTCTCGGAGAAGCTCATACCATAGGTCCTCGCTATCAAAGTACGCCCAAAATTGTAGGAGCATGGCTGCACCCACGCTTTGCTGCTGAATATGTCTGAATGAGACTTCCCACGTAGAATATAACGCTCGGTCGTACTCTAAAAGTTGGGGGCTTCCTTTCTGCAAGCGCAGCCATGATTCCTCATATAGTCGGAGATACTCAGCACAGGTCGTTGTCACTTGGCTTAGGTAGGCTCCAGCTGTTGAGAGGGCAAGCGGAAGTCCGTCCAGCTGTCGTGCCAGCGTCGCAGCGTTAGGATCTATTCAATAATTTAGTCCTATTCAAAGTTTTCCTTTGTAGTGATATACCCTTGCTGAAATGATCACGGCCGGATGTTGATGCCACTATTGCTAAGCTGTCGTTGATATCGCCCAGCTTACTTAGCCGAATCAACTGCCCGAGCTTCACTGTCGCAGAGCGGGTCGTGATAATGACGGCGCCGTGGTCGGTTTCGGGGAGGTATGGGCGGATATCGTACGCTTTTGAACTTGCTGCTTCGGCTTGGCTTGTCTTGCCGGAGATAGGCGCCATCTCTGCGGCACATCGGATACTTTGGTTGGTAGTGATGTGGCTATCTAATAAGACATCATCATAGTTGTCATAGATGACCAGCCAACGATTGTTTTTTGGTTCATCTAACCAGCGCTTGGCTGATTCAACTATTCCATCGAGATCTTCATTATCGATTGCATTCTGGACGTATGCAAGAGAAGCCGTCTCTCTGACAATTCGCTGGGCCAGGCGTTGATAGCTCTGCTTGAGCGCTGTCGTGTCTCTCGCATCAAGCCACAAAACTGCCGAGTAATCATCACCATGTTTCTTCGCAAATGCGATCGTCGTCTGCGTTTTGCCCATGCCACCCAGGCCGTGCAGAACAACCGTCCGACGCTGTCCAGTCCACTTTAGTTCTTCGTGGAGACGACCGAGTTCTTTATGTCTGGCCACGAAGTAGTTCACACTGTTAACTCCTGGCAGCTTGAAGGGGAGTATAAATGAAGGAGAAGCTGTCTGTCTTGCATTGCTGGAGCATCTAGTTGGATATATTAGCTACTAAGACTATTGACCATTATGTGCAATCTGATAAATCCTCTTACTGCTGCACCTTATCTACCGGCAAGTGGAAGAAGAGCTGCTGAGCATACGCTACTGCCACAGCTGCTGCGTACCTATGCCATATGTCGTTCTTATGCGAGTCGCAGTAGTCTGAGATGCCGCGCATAACAAGGCAGGGAAAGTCGGCAATTACCCCAGCAGCCTCTATCTCAAAGCATAATAGCCCATCCTGCTGAGCTAGTGTGTCCCTCAGCAATGCATCCTTCACCACCAGCTCTCCAGATGCGATATTGCCCCTGTGCATAACAACAAACGTGTCGTTATTATCGCTTATTTGAGGTATACGCTTCATTAGGTCGCACTTAGTGGCGTATGCTCCTTGATGTTGGTGGATATAGTCTGGTGGAAAGAGATGATCGTTCCGCTCGCCAGGGTATTAGAATCGTCAAAGGCCACAGCTTGTTATGTCGATTCGACAGACGTTATGCTGCACCAGATCGACATCCAGCCTTGCCTGCTGCACTGCTAGCGCCTGCGCAGCATTAAGAAGAACTGCTAGTGGTGGTGCTAGGGCACCTATCCGCTCAAAGTAACTATTTCTCGCTTTTCCATAATCATACTATAGAGCGCCAGAGTGTCCACCTGCAGGCTTGCTCATAACCATATAACCTAGTTATATTATCCTATAATCCATCTCAACAGGAACTCCACCACTAATACTAACCAAGAGACTAAAGCGCAAATTAGGAAATATTATCCTCATCTGCGCCATAACTGTAGCCGCAGGGCAGTTCCCAGGCTGGTGCAGACCTGCGATAATAATATTGTGGCTGTTGATGCTCCTGAGGCTGTACACGTTATGGTCTGCTGAGGACTTAGGTAACACAGGATGCTCCTCGTCCAGCATCTCTATCGCTGCGATCTGCTCCACCTCCAGCGGACAGATCCATGCCACCTTGTAGTCGTCGCAGCTCTGTTTCTGCGACATCTTCGGTCGGTCGCCTGGAGTTTTGGATCAGTCGGACGAGAGTAGGGTGCGGTAGTACGGATCGTCCGGAGCGTCAGAAGTGGCAGCGTCAGAAGTGGCAGCGTCAGAAGTGGCAGGAATGAAACTAGGCCGTCAGGTTGATCTGTGGAAATGGAGACCTGACGTTCAAAGTCGTCGCTCAGGTAAGCCATCAATTGCGAGAGGGGAATCCCTCTTGCCGCCAGCCTTGTGCGGCTGAGTGCTGCGCCGCGGGCGAATCATGATGGAAGAAACTGCTAAGTCCTGCAATTGTCAGCATGCACTTCTGGACGCGCTCATGGTGATGTGGATCCCTCCATTGCTCGGTCGATGAGAATGCCCATTGCAGTAATCTGCAGGCTGTGAAGGGCTGGGTTATTGTTGATCACTCAAAACTACGAATCATCATGCCTTGGTATAGATCTGGATTTCGCAGGCCTAAACGGCACGCCTCCTAATCACAACACTCCACTTCAATCTATCCCTGCGATTACGCCAGAACAGCCCACAAGACAGCTCCTAACGGCTCTAAGACCGTGGAACGTTCTAGAACTCCGTCCATAATGCGCCTTCCAGACCCGTTCTCAGCGATCGCTCCTATCGCAACACCTATCTTTCTAGTCGCTCAGCATCAGCGACAAGCCCCCAACCCTATAATGGCGCCTAATCTTGCAGTTTCGCAGCATATTTTCATCTGCAATATGATCGTCAGTAAATCACTGACAAATGCCCAGATAGCCCGCTTCGTCAGCTGCAGCACCCGCTCCGTCAGCCATATTAGGTCCAACCTCTAGTGCTTCAGCATAACGAAAGCCCCGTCTAATGTTGTTGGCAGACTGCGAACGATCACAGCCCCTATTCTCTAAGCACTGCTTGCGCAACTAACTGAAAAACCACATATGTATCAGGACGAGATGGTCAGCTTTATTTGGAAGGAGTTTGAAATGCTCGTCACAACACAATGCATAAGCAGGGCGTTAGCGTCAGCAGGCTGGACGAAGAAGATGATTTGCCGAGTGGCTAAGCAGCATAATAACGACTTGCGCGACTTCTACCTCCACAACCTCTCTGACTTCCGATCGTACTATCTGGTGTATATTAATAAGTCTGGATATAATAAGCAGGCTGGCTATTAACGTATAGGCTGGTCGCCTAAGGGGCTGGCTCCTATGCAGAAGTTATGGTATAGTTGTGAGCGCTAACGTTATATCCTACCAGCGTATTCGCAGGACGGCGTTATGCTCTCATATATATATTAAAGATCAACCAACCACACCTTATTTGAGGATTTCATTACGCAACTGCTATGCTATTATAGCAAATAGCCTAAACTGAAGTTGGTTCTGGTTATGGATAACGCGTCCATCCACTATTTGGAAAGGCTGGACCAGATATGCGTAGAAGCTGGAGTGAAGCTTGTCTACCTTCCACTGTACTCACCTAACTTCAACCTGATCGAGGAGTTTTTCGCAGAGCTCAAGATGTTTATAAAGAGAGTTTGGGTGGAATATGAGGATCTTCCCAAGCAAGACTTTAGGGCTTTTTTAGAATAGTGTGTGGACATTATTAGTGGACGAAAGTCCAGCGCAGAGGAACACTTTCGCAATACTGGACATATTATCGAGGAGCTATGAAAACTATCGTAGGATGGATTTTTTATTAGTCTAGCGTCTTTAGTAACTTGATTCACTCGCCTGTTGCTGCGCCCACTTCTTAATATCTTGAATAAACCAGAGGGCAACACCCCTTCTCACACCTCTGTTGACGAAGAATGCTGCATCTTCGCCTTGATGTATCAGCTCCAGGTTGAGTCCATCTCCTAAAGCTAGGTCGCAAGCCCTGCCAAAGTCGAGCTTGAGGCCCTCATCATAGACTTTTGAGCAATGCCACTCAGTATATAACTTCATAGCATCGTCGCATAGTCCCAGGATGTCAAGAATGTCGCAGTGGCATTAGAGTGGGTTGACGGCAGGCATTATAGCTGAGGGATGAGCAGCAGGCTCTAAGACAGCCAAACCGACTGGGTTGTCCACGTCAACATGCTGCTGGCTTCCTATTGAGTTAAGTCGTCGTCATCTGCAACTATAACACTCTTCTTCTGCATATAGCTGATCTCGCAGAAAGTCCAGCATATTATTATGTGTCTCTAACACACCCTCACTTTCAGCGTATTTAATAAGACGTTGCAGATAATACGTTTTAAGTTGATAATATTTCTGAGTTGCTCTGTCTTGCCAGCAGTACAGCCTAACATAACAAGGCGGGCCTGTGTAACGCATAAGGTTGTACACGCTTAGCCAAACCGACGCAAGGCTGGTACTTAACTCTTCAGCGTCGATCTGCAAGGCTCTATCGGAGAGCATCTGGTTGGTAACAGACCTGCGCCCGCGCTTAGTACGACCAGCTGATAGGGCCTCTTAGCGTGAGATAACAAAATTAAAGGATATATTAATCCTCAGCTTCTTCCTAACTTAAGTCAAATAGCTCTATTCTTACAGTTGACTCTCAACTATCTTCTAGTTAATATTAAGTTTGTCAAATCGCTTAATGAGATTGTGTTGAGATCGTTTGGTTATAGATATAACCACGTCTGAGTCGACCGGTCTGAAGGTTTTATGCAGTGGTAGCTTTCTTCTCAGAACCTCCTGGACTTATTCCTTTAAGTGCCTGTCCCAGAATGCTTATAGGGCAATAGTGATGTTATGCTCTAAGTCTTTAGTGACTGTTCTGTTATTAGCTGTTAACTTCTATTTGACGATATAGGGCATATAAGTTCCTTATAACTCGTTATGATCAGTGTTATGAAGTCTGGGCGAAGGGAAGTCACAGTTATATGCAAGTGTTTGTTAACCTAAATTGTCGTCACTATCTGTTGCTTCGGTTTCATCAAAGTTAAACGATAAGAGACTTCAAGTTGAGCGCGCTATGTGTTAGCCTTTAAAGCTATCGTTAACTATCAAATCAGAAGGCGGCAACATAATAATAGCTAGAGGCAGGATAGGTTTATTAAAGGCGAGCACCTCTATAGACTTCATCAGGATTTATATACAATAGGGGAAAATAAGCCAGCTGATAACCTTTTTGTCGCATAATAATAGCTGCAGAAGTTGAGAAACGCCATTTCGTGATGCAAGAGCAGGTATATTTCGATATAGATGCGTAATCGCAGCTTCTGGATCATCTAAACGACAGATTCAGCTTCAGAGACAACTAGGTAGGTATAGTACTAGCGACGAGATAATCCTAATATGTCTCTAGTGCACATACGACGTTATAGTCGGGCGACTATGACTAGGTGGATAAGCTAGAATAAACCTGTCATGACATAAGAGTTAGATTCTGCTCCTACTTATGCATGCATAATAACCCTTGTCAAGAAAAGTGATAATCAAGAAGTGGATTCCACACTGGAGCCATAAGCTGCATCAGATCGGAGACAGGTACAGCCGTACGAGGTCGCACAGTGTAAGCGCCAAGAACAGGCGGGTCCGTGCGGAAAGATGGAAGAGTGTTGAACTGAGCATGAAGCCCTTTTCGTTAGCCACTGTAGTGATTATGCCATGCCTTTAACCAACATTGCGCCGCGAATTCATACTCGACTTAACGTATCCCAGGCAGAGGAAACCAAGCCGCTCTCTCCGCTGCGTCCGTTCAATCGAATCATAAGCACGAATCATGAACTGTAATCAGCCTGACTTCCTCTGAGGTATAGATACACCAACGATGTGTTTGGAGAAAACGTTCGGCTCGTTCAACAATCAAGACCAACAGGCGTTCAATCATCGCATAGAACATGGCTAAGAAAGCCGAAAGCTTACATCATCGATACAACCTACGACGCCTATCTAGTTGCCGATCAACGAGAGACATCAAGATACGCAAGCAGAGAGATAAGGCCCAAGCCGTGTGGAAAAAGCCGCGCGAGGCCCAAGGGGCTGCCCAGACGTCTCCCAAGGCAAGGCTGTGTAAATTTCAGCTGGCTCGTAGAAACACACCCACATCGTCGATGGCCTTGAGAAACAATAATAATATAAGCGGCAGCCAACACGGTGGCAAGCCACCTGAGAACAGGCCTCTCCAGCCGAGGCAGGGGGCTTTGCCGGCTATGCAGAGAAAGAACCGCTGCGATCGCTTCAAACCAAAAGGATGGGGATGGAAAGGGAGGCTCGTTGAGAGGCTTGGCTACCTGTATCTCTGGTGGGATTTCCTGCGCCGCAGGCAGCCTACTGTAGCAGATTCTTGGTTCTGAATGGGCGTCCGCAGTTAATTTACGCCTCATCGGTTAGTCTCTGGGTCTGGCTGTGGCTGGGGTTATTGTCATGGCACAGGATGACCCTTGGCGTGCTTGCAATGTCATAGAAAGTCACAAGAAGGAGTCTGTTTCCGTCGTCGTAGTGATTTCAGTAGGGGTACTTTCATGCTACTATCTACAACACATGCTGCATCCGAAGGTGAACCTGGGCAGTGACTTTACTTGACGGCAGCGTCAGTTACACCGTCCAAAGACCACACTAGATGTCCCATCCGCCACGGTCGTCAACATGCAAAAGAGATTCGTTCGAACAGGCTTCGAAGAAGTCTGCCGCTCCGTCAACGAGCATTTTGAACCTTTCCTGATGCTTTCCTGTCCCGTGGTATAGTTGAAACGGCGCCTGGCCCTTGCCGAACTCCTCCTGTCGACAGAGCATAAAGCTGAGGTGTCCGTATCTTCCGCGACATGAAAAGTCTCCAAAGGCAAGTATCTTAAGCGACGGAATGCCCGTCGGACCGAAGGCCTATTCTGCGAAGCGCTGGAACTCCGGCTGGAGCAGGCGACAGGGGCCCGTGATACTCCTGATGTCTACGTATCCATGCGGTCCACGGCCGTCCTCCCCGGGCACGCCGAAGACGATAGACCTCGCCAGGGTCGAAGGGTCACTCGCTGATCCTCCGTCATGATCCTCATATGCCCACAGGTCTTCCACTTCCTCTACCATACGGAGGCCCCAGGAGTCGTAGCGTAGGATATCTCTTCCGGACTGTCGGACGTGGAGAACCTTCAGCGATGTATGCTGCCTCAGCGATCGAACAAGCATCTCCTACGGCAATCTGTGATCAGCATTCTTCTCCTTCCCATACAGCGCATGGACAACTGACAAGGTATAGGGGGAAGCAGGTGACGCCGAGACACTCGAGGTTCGTGGGCGGGGCGGCCGGAGGCTTTTGGCCCAAGACGATGTCTCCTATCGTGTCGAGGAGCGGCGGCTGGCTGGCATCCTGCTCCGCATACATTGACTCGAGGTCGAGGTCGAAGATGCGCACGTGGTAAACGAAGCGTCTAAGCTTTGGGTGGCCCAGTGCGGCATGCCAGAGGGCTGTGGGGCGGTCTAGCAACCCCGGAATGGAAATGTAAAGCTCCTCAAGGCCCTCGAAGTGCTCTAAAAAGGTGACCAGCATTCTCTCCGGGAACGCTCCCGCAAACATGTCCAGCGAAACCTGAATCTCAAGCAGGGCGAGGTTGATGCCAAGCCCCGACGTCAACCAATACCGAAAGAGGTGCGTCCAGCCCGGGCAGGCCCGGAGCCGGAGCGACTGGAGCTGGTCCAGGCATAAGACGGCTGCCACCCGGTCAGTGGCGGGACGCAGCGGCACCGCGCCAAGCGAAAGCCTCCTCAGGGCAGTCAGCTGCCGGTACTCCGGCTGGCTCGGGGACGGCAGCATGAAATCTGCGACAACATTGTACTCGACGGCATCCCCGGCAATGCTGGCCCAGCTGTCGTCGTAGCGCACGGCATCGAGCTCCAATTCACTAACGATGCTATGGTTTCGCAACAATAGACTCTTGACGCTTTGCATATCATCCCGCGAACGGATGCCAACCCACGAAAGCCGCCTCAACTTTGGGAATACGTCTAGGACGAGCGGGTTTCCGGCGCGAAGGGAGATGCCACACGACCCATCTGTGATCAGGCTGATGGACTCGAGACCGTTTTGCGCCTGCGGTAGGTAGCCCAGAGGCCAGAAGACACCTTCCGGAAGGCAGGTTCCCACCTCCCAGCTAAAAGTGAGCGCATGCCTCGGTCAGCGTAACGTTCGCCGAATGCCTAACGTCCCCGGTAGTGACGAGAGAATCATCTCACCTGAAGCTCTCGAGGCGTGCTTCTCGCAGGCGACACAAGAGCTGTCCTATGTTGCTCATCGGATCCCTAAAGCTGCTGGCTCCCGCCCGGCTCTCCTCTTCGTTCATGAAGTCCCCATCTAGGCTTGCGAAATGCGGGCATCGGTAGTCGCTGATATAGCGTCGAAACCGAGACACGATCCGGAGGTGTTTCGTATACTGCAGGAATGATGTTGACTCAACATCGTACAGCGACTGGATGCGCGCATTGGTTCCACCGAGGAAGAGCTCACCGTGATGCAGCACTATACGTGCAAAGAGCAGGGGAGCCACGAACCCATATGCGGAACGCGATACCAGGCAGAGCGACTTCCAGTCCCTTGCGTTGCCCACCTAATTGTTATATGAGTTACCACGTGCTGCTTTCTATACACTAGGATACTGCAAAAGTTAAGAGGGGTTAAGAGGAAAAGTTAACACACTGTTATCACTACGTCCTGTATTATTTCGGGTGGCAGATGAAAGAGCATATTCGTGTAGAAGGCTCAAAAGATAAAATATAGGTGACGATCTAACCTGTTCAATTCAAGATACGATGCTGCTGAAGGAATATCTGAGGAGAAATGTCCTTCTGTCCGTATAAAGAGGATGGAACTCGTTATAGCCAAGTCGTATTATGCATACTGTAGCTACTGTATCAGTAAGAGCTGTATACTGGTTTGTGTAAACCCTCCTGCTTGATGATAATGCTGATGCAGTAATCGCTGGTTCCACAAGACAAACAATCAGCAAGCTCTGCTGTCTGACACCAGCTTAATACTTCACTTATTAATACTTATAGCATAGAGCAAAAGGCTTCGCTGATCATCGAGATACGATCCAATAAAATGAGAGAAGCTAGTTGACAAGAGTAAGCTGGTTATTTCAGCCGTACGTAATCTATTTGTGAAGCTGGCTAGCACAGATTGCCCTGCGTTGTAATCAGACAGCACGAAGTCGACATCCGCGCCTCCTAAGCTTAAGAAACAGTACATCTCTCCCGGTACAGCATACATCACTGCCTGATGTCATATACGATAGCACGCAGGGCCTCCATCGTCCGACTTCGATGGCCATCCCGGCTGGCATGTCTCTCCACTAATGCATTCTGCTCTGCGGCAAGACTGGCGAGAACTTGGCTCTCGAGCTGCAGCGCGCTCTCCATTCTCGCTATCTCGGCCTGTGTGTCGCCCGCTTGTAACCGTCGGCGCACGTTCCGTGTCTCCAGTGCACATCGCCGGTATTCCTCGTCGCCACGAAGACGCGCGAGACATTCAGGGTTCATGTGCACTCGCCTGTCATCTATCCTGACCATGCTACAATTACTTTTTTGCTTAAGGCGAAGGTATGCACAGTCGCCTATGAATACTAAAAAAGAGACGGGCAAGAAGAAAGAAGAGAAAGAGAGAGGTATTAATCAAAATCAAATCATTCCTTAGATACAAGAGATGCAAAACTATATGCTTACGGACCTGCGCACGCCTAAGTGTCTGTTGGCTCCACCGCCTTGTTTGACACACTCTAGTACAGCGTGTGGATTACCTTCTGACGAGAAGACGCCAGCCAACTCTAGCCCAGCAGCTGCAATTACATCTCTCCACATCTCCTCCGTCCTCTCCTTCCCGCCCACAGTTAGCATCAGCAGATCGAGCGACGCAGCGGGCGCAGAAGGAGGATCGTTGAGCACCTGCTCTGCAATTAGCAGCCTACTGTCGCCGGCCATTGCGTCTGCAATGACCCCCAAGATGGCGATCGCAGCCTCATCGCTGTAATCGTGCAAGCAATATCGAATGTAGTAGACGTAGGCACCTGCATATGTCTCAGTCAGCTGGTCTCAATAGAGGCCGGGCCGGGCGGACCTTTAACTGGCTGCTCTTTGTGCATGTCGATGGCCATCAACTTTACCCCACACATCTCGCCGGCCTGCTTGACCTCGTTGATGACCGGCTCCTTGTCCTGCAGGACGCACCGCTGCAAGGGCAGGCCACTGCTCGCGATGGAACGCGTCGCGTGGCCGTTCCCCCCGCCAACGTCGACCAGCAGCATGCGACGGCCATCATCCACCTTGGACGCCTCCACAACCCAGGAAAAGTCGTACAACCCGCAAACAGGAGAGACCGCTCCCATGGCGGTCATCGCTCGCATGAACACCCGCTTCGTCTCCGGATCCTGGTAAGCGACATCCCAAATCGTCTTCTCCGGCTGGCCACACGCGAAGGAGAAAGGCACAGGCGTTGGTCCTCGGGGCTCCGAACGACCATACTGACGGAAATAATCGGCCAGCTTGGCGTAGGAAACCAGTCTGTGCGTGAACCTGTGGGGGTAAGCTGAGCCGGAATGGCCTGTCAGCCGCTGGCCTTGACTTACATGACTTGAGTGAGGTCTCCAGTCGGATGGTGGTTCAGGAAGACCCTTGACCTGTCAGTGTGTGCAACCCTGTCTCGCCCGTCCTGTCGTAGAATGCCAGTGGACAGTAGCATCCACGCGAGGCGAGCTAGCTCATGTCAGTCGATGTAAGTATTATCTCCTATTGCGTTCGTTGCACACTGCACGCCGGCCGCTGGAGAGGCCTTCCCTCCAGCTGACTAGCGGAATCAAAGCCACGAGCAAGTTCCGTAAAAAGGGAGACCCTACTTAGAAGATGCACGTCGCATCGTACGCTGGTCGCAAGCTCAGCGTATGTTACCGACCCCTCCGGTGGGATTTGCTGGAAAGCTCCAAAAGCAGCAAACATCTGCTTCGCAACCATTTCCCCGATTTTGACGCAGTCGTCCATAGGTTCCAAGTGCGTATCACACCGCACAAGGTTGATGATAGCCTGGGCCGTTGTCATGATCGCTGCGCGGCTGTTTTCGCTCACCCCAGCGGGGGCGTTGCCCCGAAGGGTGTAGTGGGTTACATCAGTCAGCAGGGTCGTCGCAAGCTGTTGGAGCTCTGACATGTTCCCCGGACGCTGGGCCATTGGGCGTTACCAGGGGGTACGGAGAGGCTTTGTATGGCAAGATAGACTGGCCCAAAATTAGAAGAACAGGAAACCAAAAATGAGGGAATCTAACCAATCAAGACTGGGAAGAAAGTGGGCGTACACATGCTGTAGACAGATGTTCGTCTATCTACCCCCCTTAAAGCGAATTAAATAGTACAACCCACAATAATACACTGCCAGGCCGTCAGGTAAGAGCCCAATGAAATAGACACGCTAGTGGGAGTAAGCAGCAGCTACCTTTACAGCGCCGCAAATAAGCACATCATGATCACCGAGACGATAATCACGGAGAAAAGACGGCCATAGCCTGCGACGAAATGAGACGGGTGTGTTCTGCTGTTTTCTCAGAGGATAGGGTGGGTTAAGCTGGTTCGTCAGTAAGTGTGCAGGGTATCGTTATCTCCGCGAAGTAATCCACAACCATCCTGTTTCCCACAGTGCTCGACGTGATTCTCAAGATGCTTGGTGCCAGCTTAAATCTGTACAATTTCTCATGGCCTGTCCACGAAGGCATGCCTACTAGTCAACCTTTCCTGTCATTTTTTCAAGATGGGACCGCAAAGCCTGCCGACGTCAGATCCTGTCTGGTCAGTTCCTCATTACTGCTTCAGGGCCCCCATCGCCAATATGCACGCTCGAGATAGCAGCAAGGGCATGAGGATATGGCCCCTCAGCTCAAGCAACCCGGAGGCCCAGCCATCTGTAATCTGTGACGAGACAGTGCAAAATGAGCCAGACGTGGAATACCATGTTGATTCGGAAGAAGAGTGTCTGCGCAATCGGCGAAAACGAAAGCGGGACGGCGACGGCGACGCCAGCAACAGAAAGAGGCACGGGAACCGCGCAACGCCTGTGCAAGTGCCTGTGGAGCATAGGCCACAACCGATGGATGATGGTGATCTCCCCAATCTAATTGCGTCAGTGATGGACCTGCTCGATGGAGAGGATGATGCTGGGGTCGACAGGGCGGCTGGGCGGGGGCCCATCACGAGAAGCCGCGCTTCGAAGCAACCTCGAGAGCTCACAACGCCTCAAAGACACAACACCCCGGCTGTACCCACGATGGAGACATTCGATGACCGAGCGGAGTATCCCGTCGAGGCCCTCCTCGCCAAAGCGAAGATCGGGCGTCGCGTCTACTACAAGGTCAAGTGGGAGGGCTACGGCGCCAGCCAGAGCAGTTGGGTGAAGATGAGAGACATCGGAGAGGAGGCGATCGAAGCATTTAAAATGGGTGGACAACGAGGCGTGTTCACGTTCGACAAAATTATCGCAGCGCCGGAAGGGGCAACAAACAACGCTTCGTATCTGATACAACTTAAACTTGGTCATCTGACAGACACCGCAGAGGTGGATGCGTCGGACCTGAGCGCAGCAGAGATTGCGAAGTTTCGGCTACAGAACGCCTCGGAAGTATTGTAACCGTAAGCGAAATCGACTTCTGAGCCCTATATAAAGGTGATATGCTCAGATCGTGATGCAGCAACCACACCCGGATCTTCACCATTTTCGCAGTGGACTTTGAAAAGAATGGCCCTCTAAGCCGGTCCAGTACGGGAACGATGCTCCGACCGCCTAAAAAAGACCAGTAGGGGTATGCGACGCAAGGAGGAGTCATATTTCATCGCTCGCCCATTACGATAGAGACTTCTGACTGGCTGTTGGATGGGGAGATATTTTTAGATTAGTGGCTATATCATCCACCGACCTTCAGCTGCGGTGTAGAGTAAGGTATTTATAGAATACATGCGTCTGCATTTAGATATAGCGTACTTAAGCCGAGCCTTCTTCACCTTTTCACTATGTCAGGCCTCTTCGTAAATCAACGCTATGTTTCTGCCAAGCACTCTTCAGCTGTTTTCATTTGACCCCGCCGTGCGAAGCCGACAGCTTACGCAGATTTGCAGCCTTGCAGGTGCTGTTAACGTGACAGGAACGGCTGCAGCTATGCCTCTTACTAGCCTCGTTATTCCGTTTGACAATCAGTGGCAGTCTGTTCGTAAGTTTTGGGACTAATTGCATAGGGAAGGCTGACACTAAGCTGGGCAGCTGCTGTAATGAACATGAGCCTGACGACTGTGTCCTGGCCTGGGTTCCCCTCTGTGGACCGCCAGTTCCGTGGTGCTATGGGTGACGTGTGTGTCCAGCAAACGTCCTTTGAGAACTTCCAGGCGGTCTTTAGCGTCGGGCCTCCGCAAGTCATCACGAGCATAAGATGCATATGTGATGATAGCAAGATGCCACTGCGTGTTTAAACTGCGCACCACTTGTGGCACGGACTTGCCGAGAAACTAAATGGAAACTTTAGTTCACTAGGTAGCCTACTTATAGAAGGGCGGCTTTCTATCACTGTTGACTATCTACAGGTAATTATAGTGTGGTCCTGTGTGACCCTATGACTTGCATATAGGCACTGCATAAATTATTACAGTAGCCCCTATCTCCACAGAAATGATACCATTCATGACTGTGACTGAACCAGTGACCATGGAGACTGTTATAAGATAGATATCGCGTCGTGTGGACATGGCGTATTGCAAGCGGCAGCCTGAAACAGGCCTCAGTTGTTTCCAGCCACCCAAGGCTGGCTTCCACGAGGATGATCTTGCCACAGTGAATGTTGTATTCATTATTTCAAGTCATGTAGTCGACATGTTTCGACAGTCTCGCCTTCGTTGTTTTTGGCGCCAAGAGGAATTGTTCTTGTTGGAGGTCTCAGTGTGTCCGAAACCTTCTATGGTGTCAGGAAACAAAAGTCAAAGTATGACGGGGATATTAGTAGTCTCACTGTGTTATTGGTGCTTCTCGTCGTCTCCTTTGAGGAAGACCTAGCATACCGCGCTAGATTTACTGGCGGACCCAGGCTAGGCTTTTCATCATCGCCATTTTGCGTGGGCTCCTCATTTTCATCCGACTGCCAATCAGAACAATGTAACTGAAAATAAAGACGAAGAGAAGACCTAGTAGCAGGGACGTCATCTATAGGTGCCATTATAGCAAGGTGCCACTGGGCATAACGTGACAACTAAAGTAAAGGAGAATGAGAGATGGCGAAGATTAGATTTCTTTACGGTGTGGGATGCTTCACTCTTTATAATCAAATAGAGGGGGCCTAGCATCTCAAGAGAGGGCAGAATCTAGACTAAGCTGTTATGCTACTGTATTGATAAAGGGGGCAATCTGATGAAAAGCCCTCTTAGCCCTAGGCATGAACGGGGTCTGTCAATGTTACCGGACTAATAGGGGGCTTGAAACAGTCACTCCTACATGAAAATGCTGCCTGCCGTTTTAGCAGCTGGGCGGACAACCATCATGAACATGGGGATTTACAGATATCGCCACGCGCCTTGCCACGATTTAACTTAACACCAGTGACATCATACGTAACATATGATGTCTGAAAGGCAGCAGCAATATCAGTGTACTACAGAACATAAGACACAGGGGGACAGGCTCGTCAAAGTTCTGTATTATGTAGACAGGCTTTCAAATCATGCTACAGACGCCGCTTCTTGCCTATCCGCTTCCCTTCTACGTCCAGAAAGCGCTTACGACTTCGCGTCGGACTCGTCGGGGTATCATCGGCATTGCCAAAATGGTTGTTCCACCCCTGGCTGTCCAAGAGACCACGTAAAGTGAAGGGTGATGAACTGATAGAGACCGGCTCCCACTCACAACCGAGGCCGCTAACCCGCAAGGCGATGGGAAACTCGGCGTCGAGATCACGTACGTTCAGCTGGATAGACTGCTGGAAACGTGTGTTTCTATAATTAACGCTCTTTCTCTGCAGGGGCACCACCACGCCTTGGACGAAGAACTCAGCTCCGCCACCAGCGAGGGACATGATGAGGTGATGTAGGTCAGTGCCTGGGTTGAGGCTGCAGACGATGCGACCCACACACGTCGTACTGGACCGGTTTTTCATCGGCCGGGCCGTCAGCTCGAAATAGAAGAGCGTCGACAGCAGCGCCTTGGTGACCGCGTCAATCTGCTCGCCACCCTGAAATGCTGCCGAAGTTTGCGACCTTAGACCTTCAATAGCGTCCAGATCGTCCAAGGTGGGCACAGGACCTTCTAGCTTAAGATTACAGCGAAAGTCTTTCTTACCGTCCATCAACGCAGGACCATCCTCGAGCGTACATCGGTCATATGCAGCCTCGCCGTCCATGAAAGAATCGACCGCATGAAACAGGCTCGAGACATAGCCACGTAGTGTGTCGAAGACGCCTGAGGGCCTACCTGCGGTCGTTGGAGAAACGGGAGACGTCGGCCGGGCGTCCGTGTACCCGGTCCCGAGAGAGAGGGTCACACCCCGGCGGGCGCCGGGCCACAGAGAACGGCTCTCGCATAAGGCCGTCCGCTTCGGGCAGTTTTCCCCGCAAATCGCGCCGTCCTGCAGCTTACCTGTACGGGGGACAGAGTGGGGCCAGAAGACCCTGCAATGCACGAGTCAGCCATGGTGGTCACACTTCTACAGATAGGAGGGTGGAAGCTTACCCGGGAGCTGCCGTCGTGGCCCTTGCGCTTAGGAGACGTCAGCGTAAGCCAATAACATAATGATACAATGACAGAATAGCACAGTAGTACTCACGCGTCATACACACTAGCCCGATCGGGGGGCCCTGTGGCCCGGATGTGTTGGCAGGTGCCCCGGTGCTCATCGGACCCGGCTCCGTTATAGTTCGACAACAGATACCCACCCCGCGGCACACCGGAGGCTGTAACTGCAACCTTTGCTCCCCTCGCCGTTGCTGCGCAATGATCCAGGAGCTTCTTCTCCCCTAAGGCGTTTCGCAAGAAAGTGTCTATGCTCTCGGAGGGATATAGGGAGCCAAATAGGTATATCGTCAGCAACCGCAGAGCCCGTCCCTGCAGCCATCCTGGCAACGGTAGACGAGGGCGAAAAACGCTGGCCGACATGTTGCGAAGCATGCTCATGCAGCAGGACACCGAAA